TTTACTTTATATTATAATATATAAAAAGATTGGCTAATGAATGCAATATCATCCTACTTAATATTAGTTATAAATTATCAAAATAATAAAGCATATAATATTATTGAAGAATTGGCTTTTTACCAAATATGTATCTTATTATTTGTAATATAAATTGTATTATATTTTTATACATGGATTAAATTTTTGCTAAAAAAAACCTATAAATTATTTAATATGAGATTGTGTTGTTTTAAATAAATGAAAACCATGATAAAATTGAACTTGAAAGTTATGTTTTAATAAACTTCACTTGTGATCTTAACATTTGATAACTTTGAAGTTGAAGCTCAATGACCAATTGTACTTGATTGATGAATCTTCAAAACTTTGATCTTATACTATCAAACTTCTTAAGCAATGCAAATACAAATTGTTGCATCTTAGACTTCTACAACATGTAATCACTACTCTTTACAAAACTTGTTTTTAAAAAAAAAAAAATAATGTCATGAATATAATCAATATTAATAATTTATAGATAATAAGAGTTAGCTAGAAATAAATAAAAGTAAGTAAATGATATGATATCTTGTGGAAAAGCTTTTTAAAAGCTTTAAAAATATGGATTTGGTTTTATATATATCTATAAGTGATTGATAGGTTAAAAAATTTGTCAACAAGTTGGCCATATGTTGCGCATATAGAAAACTTGTTTTACAAATTAGACACATGTTAAAGGTCCTATAGAAGATTTCTACATAGTTCCTATTTAAGTAGTATATATATATATAGAAGAGTTATGTCTTCTACACTCTTGTCAATTCATTTTCTACTTCTAGTCTAGTTTCAAAAGTATATAGTTTTTTGGTCTTTAGTAATAGTTATTTGAGTTTTTTCTTGAATATACATAATTAAATTTCTTTTTTATCATCTCCCTTAGATATACATCTTACTTATTTATTTGTATTCTTTGTGTTCTTATTCTTGATACTATCTAATTAATCAACTTTATAAAAATATTCTACAAATCATCCAACATATGTCTAACTTTCAAGTCAAGTTTCAAATATATAAGCCACACAGCCAACTTGTACCACAAGTAGCTAACATATGCAACATGTGACCAACTTCTATAAAACATTATCAACACATACATAATATAGTTAATTTTTCAGTCAAGTTTTTAACTTATCAATTACCTACTAGTACTTATAAAATCAAATCTATGTCTATAAAGCTTCTAAGAAGCTACTCTGTAAGATATTATCAAATTTATCTACTTTTACTTATTTCTACCTAATTCCTCTTATCTTAGTAATTACTAGTATCAATACATATGTCTTTGATACATATGTATGTAGCTTAAAATTTGATTAAACAAAGGATCTTCTATTTTTATCATATAAATAATATTTATTACATCTCTATTTAGTTCTATGTTTTTGATTTTTCTTTTAATTGTAAAGGTAATTTTTTAGTTTTTATTATAAAAAAAATGATTTATTTAGTTATATATTAAAATTTTATAATAAAAAATAAATTTTATTTGTAATTTTTTATTTTGTCCGTTTGTATTTTTATTCTTTATTGTTTTAGTCATAACATTGTATTCAAAACTTTTGATTCAATAAATTATATCTTTTTTAATTTATAAGTATATAAACTACAATTTCATCTAACTCCTTGTCTCCAATATTTTTACTAATTTTTCCAAAGTATGATTTATCTACAATAGCTTCTATTTTTGACTTGAAGTAATATCATGTCTATCATAACTTATTGTGTTTTGAATTGTAACACAATTTCTTAATTCAATTTGTGGTCATATTTAGTTTTTACAAAAAAATTGATGTTAAAATATCTATTAAAATAGATATACTTAATTTATTATTATTTCTATAAATTTTACTATTTTTAAAAAAAACTTATGATGATTTTTATTTGGCAAATTATTTTAGATCCTAATGATTATATTAGTACTATGTAGACATAGTTTATCCATCAAGATAGTTTTGTAATGGCATATATGTTCTTTTGGCTAGTCCATTCTTTTATATATTTTTGACATATTTATAAATAAATATTTTGATATTTTTTTATGTATTAGATGATATTTTATCATTTCTATTCAAAGTCTTAATATTATGTTATCTACTAATTCTATTCCTATCAATTATTAGAGTATTCTTTAACCTCTTAATCTCTTAGATTACATCCTCATATACTTTTTTATATTTTTGTGGGATCTAATTCTAATTGTGTAGTCTTTGTTTCTAAATTATTTTTTTTAAATCTATATATAATTAGCAATTGATTGTAATATATCTGAATAGATTTTATTTTTTTACTAACAAGACTAACAATTTTTACATCTTATCTTCTATATGTTCGAAAACTATTTTGATAAATAAGAATAATTCCTAAATTTTATTGTTATGAAGGTCTTCACAAAGTGCATTGTTAAATTTGGCTGCAATCTAAAAAGCAACTAGCTTGAGTTCATCTATATTAAATTTTAATATGATCTAGGTCAAATATCAAAGAATTTTTAATCCAAAAGATATGTTTGAATTCCAAATTGTCTTAAATTTGAAATATGCAAATCTATTTATTATTTTATATGGAGATAATTATTTTATTTTACATACTATTTATATTAAATTGGCCTTTATATAAAAAGAGAATTTTTTTATTAATAATTTTTATGTTATAAAGCCTTTTACCTAAAAGTGTATTGATTAAATTACTAATTAAAGTGCTCTACATTCAACAAACTATAAAAAAAAGTTGAAATAGTAAAATATTTTTTTAAGAAAATTATTGCATGGACGCCTCTTTTTTATGCCATACTAGCAATATACTACTATAAGTTTTTTGACAAGTTGGACACTAATGAGACTAAAAGGTAAAAGTAATAATAATAAACAATAATAATAATCTATTACTTAAGAACATTAATAACACAAAAGTTAATCAAAGCAAACAAAACAAACAATAAAAAGAAAGTGTCCACCTAATAGAACTACTCAATAGACGTCTAATTTTATTTATTTGATTTATTTAGATTTTGAACTTTTGATGTTCATGTGTTGTGAATTATTATTCCCCATTGTTGTTGGTTTGTATCTATCTATCTCATTAATATTTAACTTGTTAAACAACTTGTAGCAATTATTTATTGTTGGTGTGGCATAGGAAGGTGTCAACTTATCAGCTCTATTTTTTTGAATAGATAGTTTTAATCATCACTATACTTGCATTTACTGTAATTTCATAAAGTTGTGCATGTACCAAAAATCTTGCCTACATGCAACCACTCACCTATTGCTTTTACTATACCTTGTTGTAGGTTTACCTTCTTTTTTTGAAAGCTCTTTACATGATTCTTGATCCTACATATTAAGGATTCATTCTTCAATACTCTAAAAATACAACCTTAGTAAGGCACAAAAATAAATAAATAAATAGAAACCTACATGTATATCTATTAAAAAGTTCCAAACCATTGCCTAAATCTATGTGCACAAGGTTACATATCTAATAACTATAAAGTATAGCTATAACCTCCTAAAATCTTAAACTACCTTGAGGCAACAAAAATTCAAATATCCAGTTGAAAGTAATCCATCATGCTTGAGTTGGATTTTTGCCACTTTTCTTTCTTGTTTCTACTCATCTCCAAACAATATCTTATACATCTTCCATCTTCTAATCCCACTCCAATGACTCTAATTCATTGATGCATAATTAACCATTGCATATATACAACTAATGCAGAAATTGATTTTTGACAATTCATCCATACCAATTCCAAGTATAATAAATTGTTTGTATTATTCAAAATTTAACATCATTTCCACTAGGCCCTGACCTATTTTTTACCACAAAATGTCAAAATTGATTGATAGTAGATTGCTCGCCAAGCAGAAATAGCCCAGCCTATAGGTCGGATATGGGAGGTGGTGGACAATGGGTTGGCTATCTTATATAAAATTATAGAATCTAGCACAATAGAATCAACTTTCAACTATCTAATTGTTTGTAAATTAAAATGATAATATATTAAATAAAATAAATTTAAAATACCTTAATCTTTTGGTATAAAAGATTTTTGATTTTATTTTCTAAAGCATTAGTTTAAAGTTTATAAAGTAATAATAATAATTCATTATATAAATCAATTACATTAAGTAGTTTTTAAATATGTATAATTTAACATAAGCAATCTTTGTATACATTTATAACAATAAATTTAGATGAAAGATTGAATAGTAGAATGGAAATTGGCAAGAAAAAAACAATGTAGTAATGACTTTTGGATAGAAGAAATTTTGTTTGTTGTAGAATAGTAATAAAATAAATTAATAGAGACAAAATAATCTTGTTTGGTAGACTATTTTAATATAGTTCTAGTTGAATGGAATAAATTTATCTACCATAAAATTAAGAGACAAAAATAATATTACATTGAATATACTTTGTTGATTAAAAATAGTGTATTGATTTGGATGAGAAGAAGAATTAGGTCTTTGGTGGATAATGGAAATAAAAATATTTAATTGTTAAGATATAGATAGTTGAAAGAATTTTCTCTAAACGAGGCATAAACAATTTGTTGCTTATAAAAGATAAATGATTGTCTTGGGTTATTAGATCATGCACTAATCTTTCTAAAACTGCATTGAAAAGTACATGAAAAGATTGCAATGGGAGTGAAAAAAAATCCTGTCCAGTTTCAGGGTTCTATAGCTTGCGATAAGAAATGAAAAAACTTTAAAATTAAATTAACAGTTCAAAATATGATTTACTGAATGGTAGAAAATTATATAATTAATTAGAATCTTAAGATGCAACTGGGTTGGGATAGACCTGGAGTAACTAAATAACTTACTACTAAATTTGCTAGGCATGAATATCAAAGTGACACACTAGACTTTCAGAAAATTGAACAGACGAGATTACGTGGAAGTGTTCTGTACAAGTGATCCATCGCATGAGAGGTTACGAACTCAATCGGAGACATATAACAAGGTTGCATCCACGTCCTAGTCCCCGCAATGACGTGGGAGAGGTGACATGCATAAATAATTTACATGGAAAAAGATTATCCAAACAAACTACTACTATTGCGGTGATACGTTGGAAAACTCGATTGCAGCACTTCGATTGATTTTGTACCATTGTACAACACAATCACAGTCAAAAATCTTGAAGTACATTGCTGCAGCTCCAGAGACTAGCTAAGGTCGTTATATTCCTCAATCAGACTAAGCTGAACATCACCTACACAGGCAAAAGACTAACCACAAATACCTGCAAAATCCAAACCGCAAATACTTTTCGGCTTCTACCTATAGTTAAACAAATGAACAGAACCCACAGACAAGCAACGTGTCTCTTGTCTTCAATACCGGACACCGTCGAAGCGTTGAAACCTAACCAATCCAACCAGGTGAAGTGAGCGATGTACAATTCGCACATGAAAACAAAACAGCCCATTATCGTGACAGGTATAATAAAGCTACGGACGACGACATTTAAACAAGTTATTAACACAAAACGCAGCGTCTAGAGACAATTACCTTGTCATCAGCGGCGATACGATCCATATGGAGGAGACACTGAACGGTCTCGTCCATGACTGCGATATGGAGAGTAGCGAGGAGACCTGCCTCTGTCTCTGTCTCTCTCTCGACCACCACCTTGATACGGCGCATACTCAGGTGAATGACGTATGTTCCTGCCATCACGACCATAACTACCACCACCTCTCCCTCCGCCACCTCCCCGACGATTGGCTTGCATAGCTGAACATTCAAAATTACAAAACAATGGCATTTATATTTCCTCAGCAGCTTCGGCACTACACGCACAAGAAACGGCCTTAAAAATAGTAAGGACTTTAGAGATAGACAAGACAGATAGTAAGGCATGGACGTCAAACTTGACTGAAAAATTGTGTACATGTGTGTGTTTAGTGATGAACAGTTACAGACTCAGTACCTCTTACACCAAGATACTCTCCAGGAGTAGGAGTGCGCGCTCGTTTGCGTTTGGCCTGCACAACCAACCGAGGTGGGATTGTTAAATCACTTAATAAAGACCTAGACATAAGCAGTTTTTTGAAAGTGGACGTCATGTAAAACTGAGGAATTAGGCGGTGAACATGGTCATTGGACAGAGTTTTAAACTCCAACAAAGACTTAGGATACCATTGCTTCAGTAGTCTATAAAATGCTACGTAACACTGCATTAGCAACCGTACTCTAGCTTAGTGGTCAATCATGGAACTTACAGCCATTTCGAAAGCACGAAGACAAAGACGATGGACAAAAAGGGGCCCGGATGCAGGTAGTCCCAAGGAGCAACAGAAAGGAACGAAAATCGTCCCTGCAAAGCTGGACTCGTGCTCATAGCTCCCACATTCAAGAGAAACCGGAGACTTAAAGGAGGCGCCGAAAAAATTTCGACATTATCTTTGGGAGAAGTAGGGAGTAGCCCGGATGGAAGGGTTCAAAAGTTCGTATAAGCCGACAATGCTGGTTGCAGGCACTCCATTGAATATGACTACTGGCTTTCGAAATCATTGCACCCTGCCAGCCGTGATGGACAAATAGTGCCCGTCTCTGGTTAAATAGCAAGGGTCGGAAACTCCATTGAATTGTTTAAGCCTATCGAGATTTGATTAGAGTCGTTCTCTTCGCCGTGTCATCTCTCCATCGGTTGAGATTAGACTAGCGATATTTGATTACTGCAGGTCGAGTTGTGCCAACCAGCTAGGCAATTACGTGTCGATCTCTAGTTCAGCTTGGACAGCAGCTGAAGAAGAGAAGGTGATACTCTAGGCACATGGCAAAATCTCCATTACTGGGTTGAGAATCTCCTGCCAAGAACCAATCGATAACACGGACCCGATTTCCAACAGTAGGTTGATTCTTGCGATCGTTACTGTCGCCGCAGAATGGACTAAGTGGGAGGGAATCTGCGGAAGTGGTGTGGAGCCTTGATTCTGGATGACCAAGAGGTCAAAATGAGCAGACCATCAGCAAAGCCTGGCTCAACAGAAACTGCACCAGTAACATTCAGGACAAGTAGTAGTGCAGGACTATTAGATATCCTGAACTCCGTTAACCTAAATTTACTCACCTTCTCCACGGTAATTATTCGTCCTTCCAGGGTGGAGCGGTTAAGATATTTTATGCACCGCTCTGCATCTTCCAAATGCTCCATTGTGACGAATCCAAATCCACGCGACTCACGGGTGCGAGGGTCAAGTACCAAACGACATTCCAAGACCTGCCCAGTGTTTCAGAATGAGTACTGCTTGGGTGTGCAATAAACTAGTTCGTATGAACTAATTTGTGAATTTCATACACAAAGCAACAACGATGCATGGAGCTTCCAGGAAGTCACCTTGCCCTCTCGAGAGAAATGCTCTTGAAGATCCTTCTCATTCACCCGTGTGGACAAACCTGTGACGTACAGGTTATTTCCTGGGTTTAAGGCATCAGGTTCACCTCTTCTGGCTCTGCAAAAATTCCGACAAGGGGTTGTGCAATCAGAAATTATGCCGCCCACCCCAGAGACGTTCCCAAACTTTGAAATGAATCAAACAGCAGCTGAAAGTTTACTGCACTAACCGACGAGGAGGTGTCCGGGACCTTGATCGATCCCGCCCATCGTTGATAGACCCAGGCTTTTCCCTGCATCCAGAAAATGATTCACATTAACATCCACGAGGACCAGATGTTGCACAATATAACTAGCAAATAAATGGCAGTTACGTTCTAGCAAAGATAAAGACGAGTAGAATGAAGAGGAAAAATTAAATGTACTTTGGTCTTGAAGACTCACCGACGAGGAGGCGTCCGGGACCTTGAACGATCCAGAGCATCGTTGGTAGGCTTGCCACTGTTAACATAAAAGAATAAGGAGAATGGAATAAGAGAAAAATGACACTATCGACAGGCTGAAGTCTCCAATAAGTTCGGAAAAAAGGAACTGTACGTAACTTAGTCAGAAGTGTTACCGTGGAGAAACTAACCGTCGGGGAGGGCTACGTGACCGTGAACGCTCCAGCAGCCTCTCTCTTGGAGAAGGCGAACTTGAGTACCTGAACCACCCACCTCAACACGTGAATACATCCCAAGACATACTCATAGTTGAAGGCGTTCTCAGTACTAAACAAACATTTCTGTCGCGATGACAACTACCCGTCGGAGAGACCAGTATCCGCAGCCTTGCAGACTTTGGAAAGTACTGACACGGACATCGATCAGTCAACAACAAACAATGCATTAAAAATGATGCTCCTGCCCAAACTCCAAACATATCAAAAATAGCATAAAATCAAATATCTCAGTAAATGAGTACAACCAATATATCTGCACCCCATTTACTCAGACTGAGAAAACATCTGAAGCCTAAGTTCACAACTGCAGGCAGCAGAAATACCTGCGTCTGTGACGAGGAGGTGGGGTGACATCTCTGTGACGTACAGGAGAGATGTCTCTGTGACGTGGAGGTGGAGTGTCGCCCTGAGGTGCCACATTAGAGGTCCAGACTCAGACTTGGAAAACATTCGTCAAAGCACATACACAGGTTCATCGTAGAACAAAAATGCAGTGGACCACAACAACATCCGAAACACCTCTTAGAAAAGCAAGAACTCCCGTGACAACACCTCAACACGAGGTTTGATTAAGCACGATTCTGAACCCAATAGAAAAATACGACCCTATAAACCAAAGCATGCCACAGACAAAACTAGTCCCAACAGCCCCCGACTCGCATTGCAAAAACACTCACGACTGAGTTTTGATTAGCACCACAAGGCAGATAAAAACATCCGCCTCCGCGCACTCAACCCAAGAAAGGGTTTTTATTTCGGTGCGCACTCACACAGCCACCTATACCGACAACTACAACAGCAAGGGATCCTCACAAACCAACAGGTACTCACCATCGCTGCCAGAGTAGGACGCCGACGCGCACTTGGAAAGGCTGAACGTCGAAGGAGAGCACAACGAATTCAAACTAGAGGAACAGGACAATGTGGAAGCTTGCAGCTGCAACGGCACAGGGCCAGCGGAGACACTATACAAAAGCCAGGACAAACCTAGCTTCTCCAGACTCTAGCGTCAAGGGAGGAGGAAGAGGTCAAGGTTTAGGGTTGTTCCCGCGGTACCCTACGTCCTCGAGTCCGCTCTCAAGCGCAGACGTCACCACGATGGCGATGGCGATGGCGAGCTATGGCCAGCTATGGCGTCACAGAAGCGGCGCAAGAGACTTTTAGGAGTCGTCGTTGATTCTTTCTTCGGCAATTTGCAGATTGAGAGCGTCGTTGCGCTTATCCTGTACATCTTCGAAATTATTTAGTAAGTTGATCAATTACTTGAACCTCGTGAATGTTTTCAATGGCCTCATGCAGGCTCTCTTCCATCGTGTTGTTTTCAAATATGCTCTAATGGCTTTGCTGCGTCAAATTCTATGTCGGGTTGATAGTGAAGCTGCCCTTGATCGGTACCCCAAATTGCCCGACGTTCCATAGGTCTGCAGAGGATGCAAATTCGCCCCATAATATGTTGCCAAGTACAGCTGCAGCTGACATTGTAAGTGCTCGAAAGTTAGCAACAGTAACTAACAGAATCGCTAGTTCTCCTTGCCTTTGTCAATTGTGGTGTCATCTTCGGGGTACCACGATGCGAAAGACTGTAAAGTCGCAACACTTTATAGCACCACATCTCTTGCGAGAAATTCAAGATGACGTGCTGTGGCTGATCAGTCTGGTTGAAGGGATATTTCTTCGAACATGTGTGTTTTTCGTTGGGAGGTTCCTATTGAACTAAAGGAAAGCAAGATACTATGTTGGCTTAACAGAAACATTGACCACAATTGCAAAAAGTACCAGGAGCGAACATAGCTTGTGTGCTCTCGGAAGCAGCTCCAATTGAACTGCATAATTCTCTATGCAATTCCCCAGTCCAAGAAAGAAGAAGAGGAAGAAGAAGAAGTAGAAGAAAAACATTTTAAAATCATGAAAAAATATTTACTAGCCCGCAGCGAAATGAGGGTGAGCTGTACAAATTAAGCTCATGGGAGCATCCTCCATGCCAATTTCCTAGCATTGGTAATCGATTTATCGCCGCGTGAGAAATAGTCTGCGCTTATCGTCCCTAGATTCTGTAGTCACACAATCTCAGACAACAACGACCTGCGTTGATTGTTTTCGATCGTTTCCCTCAGACATGCGCTGTGTGGCGGCCATTCCTGGCAGAGACAGGATTTCGGTCGAGTCAAAGCTGGAGTGGACCTAATTTTATCGCACGCAAATCGCATGAGCGCAAGCATGCGCAGAGCGTAACACAGCTGACACAGCATGATGCGCTGAAGTATGGGCACAGAAGCAGGTGAAATTTCAGCAAATGAATACATACTTATGGAACTAGAGTGAATTAATGATAATGGCTGAGTATAGAGGTTGTGTAGGAAGTGGCACGCAACCAATACTAAGATCAAGCTATAACCCTCACAAATTGCTTGTTAATTGGAATGGAAGACGCCAGTGTTGTGTGGGACGAAACGAAAAGAAGAAAAAAGGCATCTGAGTTGAGGTTTGAGTTGGTGCTTGAAATAAAAACAATTTTATATATGTATATACATATTGAAAGCTTAGAGTTCTTAATTCACAGTATTTTAACGAGATGAAACTCTCAGGTGGCTCGTCTCCGTTCTCGGGACGTCTCGTTCCTGCCAAACCGAGGCTCCCACATCATAAGATTGCAACGACAACAAGCTCGAACAAAGGCAACATGCAGTCATTGGACAATTCTAGAAAAGGAAGAAAGAAAAGCAGTTGTGTAGTTCAAGTCTAAATGGATGCGATCGACCCAGAGTAGCGACGATCATCGAGACTGAGCAGGGGTGATCTCGCTGGAGAATTTGGAGATGGGCTTGTGGGAGAACCAATGTGCCGATCACATTGGCACCCAACTCAACCATGCTGTGTGTACAGGCCCGAGTCCACTTGCTTCGAACCTGTCTCCGAACTCTGTGCGGCTGCTTCTTCAGTGGATAATTCCGATACAGGAAATGACGGAGAAAAACATTGTACAAATGCATCTGTGGATCCTGCACCACTAGCTGCGCCAATGATCGATAACCAAGGAACCAAATCACTCCTTCACTCTTGTGACTGTGCACTTCGGTGCGCGGTGCGTTGCGAGCAGGTACTTTTCCCGGGGGCTGTGGTGGACTAGCTGGCGTGGCAGGAGGCCTGTGCGTGCCACAACGAAGCCTTGTTGCCGTGGATTCTTCTCGTGGTTTTCTTTCTACATCAACCCATCCTGCTGGATACAGCGCTCTGGGGGCGGGCACGAAGCTGGCTGATCAACATTCACTAACTCCGATGGATGCTCCACAGCTTCGAAGGTCTCCAAAGGCGGCACACCGTGCACTGCAGCGGCGGAGATGGTCCGGTCCTCCTCGACCCTACAATCCTGCATAGAAATAAACCGAAGCAACAACTTACACTTGGTATTCTCGCTGCAAAAGGTGTTCCTTTCGTGCACACCTCACACGGGAAATCTCTCAAGCTGCATCTCAGACGCCCAAGTTTGATAACAACCAAATTGCGATTCCTGAACATATCCCTCGCTAAAATATAAAGATCCCTCTACTGTATGTGACTACAAAAACGCTTACGTTGAAGTTATTAGGTCTCTACCCTTCTCAGACATAGGCACCATTGCTGTTAATCCCAGACCATTCAGTGTGCAAGATTCCAGACACAGCAACTTCTCAATACAAATTTCCCAAAGCTTTCTGAAAGCTTTATCTTAGGGTAATTCGTAAGTCTACATTGTGCTTCGAGGACTCTCGAAGTACTTGTGCTTCCTTGTGAATGTCTCAAAATGCATATCCCACAGTGTTTGGTGGTTTGGTTAGTGGGTGCTGTGAGAAAGGAGGATTGAAACCATAGCTAGTATAAAAATAGCAAGTGCGGAAGACCACAGGTCTTTGAATGTTTCTAACAATTTCAAATTCCAACTGACAACGACCAAGCCAACACTTGGAAACATGCCGAACATCTGGAGCCAGAGAAAAAGCCACTGACCAAGAAATGAGCATGGCTTGAGTGATGGCTCTGCCGCCTAAACGGGAACTTTGTGAAAGCCTCCCGCATGACTCCTCAACGCAGCCCCTGCGTACCTCAGTATCAGATCCACTTAAACTATTACCTTGTCTTCGCAAACAATTTCCCACAGCCAGCAACGCTCAAAATGTCACTACCAGCCCTCGAATCCATTCTCACCCACTTCCCAACTCCTACACACTGCCAAAGCTTCCTCACAAGCTCTAAAATCGAAATGCGACCAACGCAACTTCCCTCACAACAGCCGGCAAATATATCAACACACATCACAAGAACCTAAAACCCCTCGGAGCGTCGCTCTCTGAAAAAATTCCACCTCCCTCCTTCCTTGCTGAATCCTCAAAACCGTTAACTCCACCCTTCAAACCACACAAATGCACCGTTCAACTTGTCAGCGAATGCACCCACCTCACGGCAGCTGCAGCATAAAAGAGATTCACCTCCGACTCATCTCAGGGCTCAAACGTCCTACACCACGAGCTCTTCCACCATCCAGAAGAAACACCCACCCTCGCAACAATAAAAATCCTACACAATGCACTGTTCCCAGGCTTTTATATTTTCCTCAAAGCTTCCACGATTGTACTAAGTTAGCACCTGCGATGTGACCCTACAAGCAAGCCTCGCAATCAGCAACAATCACCTCCTCGCTCTGAAAGGCCAGTATCATCCCCGTCAGCGGGAGTCACCTGCTGGCAATCTACACCCGAGCATGCGCTGCGGAAGACTTCAACGCATTGGAATCTGCAGCGTCACCACCCATTGTTTTTTTTTGTTGTGGAGTGAATCTGTGGATGGGGTGGAAAAAGTGAGAGCGGCGGTGAGAAAGCCAAAAATCAGAATGACACACACACACGTACAATCTCAAGTGCAGTAAAGAGAGCACCATGTGTGCCCAGCTTCTCCGACTCCTGCCTCGGCGTCGGCATCCCTTTCGGAGCTCAGGCATACGGTGGACTCTCTTTCTAGTTTTAATACACATAAAATTTATTTCTGCACTTGAAATTATATTTGAGAAGGTGGGTGGAGAGAAAGAAATCTTTGGGAATCCAAGTTGATTTTTTTTAGATTTTATCACATTCTATTACAAATAGACAAAAAGTGAAGGATTATTACTCCTGTTTTATGTTAGTTGCCTCTCCACTTTGATTTAAAAGACAAATGTTTTTCCTCGCTGGCTTGCAGTTTGATTTCTTTCATGAATCTTCCACATTTTAGTGTGTAGACCCTCCAAGTGTGTAGCTTTTCTGAGTTCATTTCTTTTCTTTTCTCTTTTCTACTTTTCGATGTTATTGTTCTTACTTGCCACTTGATTATAATGACTTACATACACCAAATCAATAGAAATAGTATTAGAAGGTGTTTTTATGTGTATATATATATATATATATATATATATATATATATAGCTAAATAAATGAGATTCAAATTTGTATACAAGTTGAAAATGATGCATGAATTTGCAACATTCAATTGTAACGTGGTTCAAACTTTTTGAAGTTTTTGTTATTTGTTTTTAAAATTATACTTCAAACTATTCATTGTAAAAGATCTTTTGAATAATACTAATTATATTATATATTTGAATCCAATTCAGATCTAATAAGCTTTCTTCATATTTTATGAATAACACATTATTAATGTGATATACTCAAAAAATGCAAAAATACTTCTAATCACTTTAAGTAATATGTGTAACTATGATATTTTTATGCACGACTTCATTGAGAATTTGAAAATACTTGTATTTATGACAACCACTAGACCACAAAAAAAATTTAACCAAGTAAAAAAATTTATATTAAAATTAAAAACAACAGGAAAGAATTGACAAATGATGGTTAAACCTCAAATGAAATTGTTCTCTTGTATTTTTAGTTTTTTATTACATTATAATTTATCTGCATGAAGATGCCGCAATTTAAAACATATTAGAGAAAAAAATTATAATAGATAAATAAATAACATTGTGTATTAAATTATTAAAAATCCTGACAAATGTATATGTTGAAAATAAACATTAATTTAAATAATGGTTGATGTGTAAACAATAATTTGTAAGTAAATAGTCAGTTACATCTGATAGTAAAAAGAAATAAAAAAAAAAAAAAAAAAAAAAAAAGAGCCCTGAAAAATTGGATTGCAACAAGAAACACCAAACATGTAGATTACAACAACAAATACTAAATAACAAAGAAAAGCAATAGCAGTAGCAACATCTAGTACTAAAGCATTCATTACCAAATAAAATTTTACTCAAATCCTGATAAATCTGATTTCTACTTTGAATAATTTATAAATATATAATTTAATTTAAAATCAATAAAATTGTATAGCCTGTAGTTCCTTGAGATTTTTTTAAAAAAAGAAAACAAAAAAATAAAATTAGGCAATTAAGTAGATTGGACTTTAATCAACTAATAGATATTAAATAATTTTTTAAAGTATGTATCAACTTATCACTACATAGGTAAAGTTTAATAAATAAAAAATAAAAAATCAATATAATATATATACATATACATATATATAAAGTGAGGCATTTAATCTTTTACATAACATCTGTGTTGAAAGTTTTTTGTAGAGTATCTACAAATTGCACCTTAAAAAAACTTAAAGCTTAGTTATGGGATTCATTAAAAAATTAAAAAATATATGTATATTTTTAATTAAAAATAAATTATTTAACAATTTTTTTTTTAAATATTAGTAAAGAATATCACACATTATTTCAAAGAAACTCTACACTATCCCAAGATGGCTAAATTGTTTTTACAAAGTCACATGGAATTTAAAGTTTTTTTTTTTTTTTTTTTTTAAATCATGAATAAGAAAATTATATATATATATATATATATTTATATTTATATTTATATACACATGACTATATAAATACAAATATCTTTTTATTTTAAAATATTTATATTTATATTCATATATTTAATCTTTTGTATTTATAAATATGTTGAAATTTAAACTATTACAGGTATAAGTAAAACAATAAAATGTAAATTTTGGATTGGCCTTTATAAATTATGTTGTATTAAAATAAGAAATAATAAGAAGCAACATTATTGTTGCATTCTTTGAAGAATCTCAAATATTTAAAGAAAAAAACATTCCAAATATTAATTAGAATGAATTACAAAAAAGTTATAATATATGAGTATATACATATGTATATATACACAAATAATTATCTTTTTTATTTTTTTGTTTTTTTTTTGTTATAAAGATAATGTATAAAATTACCATGTTTATTTTTTGATGATATTTTTATATAGAACCTAAAAAAAAAATAGAAATATACTGAATATTATCATTACATGTTCACACTTATTTGCTAATTAGCATTTATTATTGTACCATAAGACGAAACCAATAAAGTATGATATATTTATACAACACAAGTTATACAATCATGATATATACCAATCCAAACAATATAGTCATATCAATTTTAATAATAACATTACAATATATACTACTGACAAATTTATTTCATGTTTTGAATAAAACCAAATTTTGTTACTTTCTTAACTAAAAACTTTTGAGTAGACCACCAAGTATTTCAAAAGATTTAAAACACATTGGTTTGATACTACATGTTATAAATTCTTAAAGTTGTTTATATTTTATGTTTATTTTTTATTTTTTTGAAAAAATAAAAATATATATTTTTTTGTTGTTATAAGATATATGAGAATAAAAATATATCTCAAATAGTTATTACTTACTACTCTAAGATATATTTTGCCCAACAACCATAGTGATTAATTTTTTCTTTCTTAGGCTAGAGTACAATTTTATTCTAATACAGATTATGACATTTACAATACTAAATATACTTCCAATTTGTTGAAATACTCAACCTACAAAAATACCATTAAACCACCACGTTTTAACATTTGAAAAAAAATAAAAAAATAAAAAATACAAAAAATAGTAAATCCACCAACTTGATGACACCTCTACTGTTTATAGAAGCATTAAGATGCCTCTTTAACATGATAAATTGTTATGATCTCAATCTTTTAACAGAACAATCTTAACTTATCATTCTCCTTCAGTCACAAACAAGTAACATAGTAGAGATACTCTCCTATATAATTAAACCCATTGTGAAGTAGAATCATCATAAATGTTTGCACACAAAAAAAAAAGTAGTGATATATAAATGCCATGATTCATATAGATGGTGCACTTTTCATATCAAAATTAGTATATACACATGTATATACTAATTAGTGGAAACCACTGTCGTTGGCCACAAAAAAAACATTGTAAATTATGTATTGTAAAGTAATCTTCTTGTTTGAAGCTTCATATAACATGAAACTCTCTGTTGCATATTGTTCCACTAAGTTCCATGCTGTCCCACTATGTTCCATGTTGTTCCACATTGTGTGCTACTCTCGGCAATCTGCAACAATAACATACAAATTTACATCTCTAAATAATCAAAAGTTGAGTTATTACTTCACTTTTGATGAAAATAAATAAATATGCAGCCAAGTAGAGATGATTTTTGTCTCCTCGAGTTTATTCCCTTGTTTCATGTAAGAGATATATTTGTATTGGAAAGTGTGCAAAGATTAATAAAATTCGACTTTGGCATGCCCCCAACATCTCAAATTACGAATACAGAGCACGGCGGAGGGTGCACCAAACCACGGCTACCAGACACTGACGATATTCGCCGGAGCCCATGCCCGTGGCTTATCCACGTTCATCCACCAAAAATCGCGGAGGCGATGGATATTTAGAATCTAGTCACGAACGCCTGGAATTCACCGCCACGGGAGGACGTGGGATCAGATCGCCTTTGGAAGCAAAAGAGAGGAACTTCTCGCACATGTGCTGGACTGCATGGAAAGGAGCCTAGTGGACATCGATGCTGGGCTCCACACATTGGTAAAACAAATCAGTGAATGGGGGAAGCCGTCTGTCGATTACTGACACGTACCGCACGAGATTCCATAAAGTAACAGATTTTCACATCTTCAGCCATCCGCGTCGTTGCATCTTCGTTCAGGGACGTGTCTAGATCCTCGGAGATTCGTAGGATGTGTGTCGTATCGTCTCTGGATCCAATCGGCGACGTGCTTCAGGAGATGATGGTGTTGGTAGACCTACAATGGGTGCTCTCTCTTCGCACCATGTGGGTTTAGTGGACCGACGATGGGTCGTGTTCTTCTTGGAGGAAGTTGGGGCTGCTGATGTTTGCGAATTGGTAGGATTCAGACACAGGATTCTGTTTTTTTTTATTTGTAAATTCTGGCTTGAACCTGGATCAGAGGCTCTGGGAAACAGCTGCGCTGCTGCGTCATTCGTGTTCCTGTGCTAGCTTAGAAAGTCGGCTTTGTTCTTTTGGAATTAGGTTGATGGGAGGGTGTTCAGTTTCCAGAATAACGCAGTTTTAAATGTGCGCTTTTGTGTGCTGGATGAAGGACTGCGTGTTTACACCGTCTGTCCTGCATGACTCAGGTATTAGTTGCGGCTGTGCCCACAGAGAGCCGTGCTCAAGTCATTTGAGATGGATACCCAAGCTCTGCTTTAGGATCTTGTTATGGTCTTGATAGCAAATGCATCGAGTAATTCCTCGCAAAGTCTGCATGAGTTCGCGTCAGGTTCTTGCTTCGCTTGGCTCGAACGGAGAATAACCGGATTGTTCAATACAACCGTGCATGGTTTGCAACAATAGAAAATTGTTAAACTCAATTTTCAGCGCGTTCTGACGTAACTTGAATTTCAGCGGTCAACCTTTGACGCTCTGTACAGCGCCGGGTTGCCATGCAGAAGTGAGGGATTAAGTGTTGAAGGTCAATGCCACGAAGTGTTGTACTATCAGAGACGTTAAGTGGTGCCTGGGTAACGCGGCACATTTGTAGGATTGGATTAATTACATCTCGATCGTTGCAATTTGGATTAGTAGCCTGGGTTGCTCTCAAGTCCAAGTTTTGGTGCAGGTTGATATTAGTTAGGAATTCGAGCTGTAGGAATTTGACTATGTTGGAGATTTAGGAACAGCAGATTAGCATCCTTAGACCGAAAGCCATAGCTAGTTCGGCTCAGCCCGGAAGCTTTGCATTCCAGAAGCAGTGCATACGTGTTGGAGTAACGATATTTGGAGGTGATTTGAGTGGGGAGTTGTGAGTTGCGGGGGGGCTCGTTTGATTGGGTAGGATGGATCGAGCGGCAGCCCAAACAATGGTGGAGAGCGTGCGTCATCCACCGGCGTTGTACTGGGGTGTGATCTCTGCTGCCGCGTTGTGCTCCGTGTGGGGCACCTTCGCATTGGCCAAGCGCAGCAAGTTTGAACGCAATCAGAGAAATGGCCGCGCCCGTGTCAATCCAAAAGTTGCATTCAAGCAACTTCGTCGGAAATATGCCACGAAGCTGCGGCTATTTCTAGGGGATCTCGTGTATCTGACCATGTTTATCATCGATCTCCTAGTGGGCGTCATTTATTGGATTATGGATTTATTCCTGGAGCACAGATCATCACAACAGCAGAGTATTGTCATCAGCAGCGTTTTGTCCCAGTCTGTTGATTACGATGATTTGAAGACGGCTTACGACGCAGAGGCATTGCATGGGAGCCAAGTTTTACAAAGACCGCCGCGTAGAGGTGAGATTAAGAGGATTAGGACGCGCTGGGTGTGGGATTGCTCCAATTCGAAGCCTATACCCCGACGGAGGTGCGAGTGCTGGGGATGGAGAGTGAAGGATTTGTTGCCGGAGGAGAAATTGGGTTCAAATACATCCAAAGACGACCAAATAATTTTGCCACAGAGCCAGTCAATTGAGTTGAGAGACGAAATCCGAAACGAACTTGAAGATAATGTTGTGGCGGTTGGCACACGCTCACAGGTGAACTCTTCTCTTGAGGAAAGGATTTGCGAATGTTTCCACCACATTATCGTTCGCCGATTCGTTGGACCATCATCAAGATTCTAGTTATTTCTAGTCGACCTTGCACAATATGGGGACTGATGGATTTTGGAGTGGTGTCAGGAAGGAGAGAACGGAGCCGTAATTCGGCCTCGGTGGTCCGAATGTCATTGCAGCCAGTGTGCCCCGCTACTGATGCCCATGCGTGTTGCATCAGACAAGTTGTATGTGATGAGCGAAGAGACTTACTCAGGAAAGCAGGGAGAGCTCTCAAGCGTAGCATGTTCGGCGTCACCGAATCCCTCGAAGTCAGCTGCCGGGTGTCCGTCCCACGATGTCACTCAAGGAAAAGGTAACGCGCTTATTCCGCAGCCCCTATCCTATCTTTTATCCCCACCAGAAACTCGTGTCCTGCGAATTGCTTTTGTTTAGCGTGCACACGTTTGAACAGCGCTTGTAAAGTCTTCATGCGAATTTCCATTAAAAGGAAGAGAATGGGAACTTGAAGTTCTTGATACTAAAGAGATTGCATGGGTGCAGAACGCACTGCGGTGATCTTTATCCACGGCATGTTCAGCTCCGCCACATTTTGGTTCGACACTGATATAGTTTCCAATTTATCACACGAAGTGAAGAATCAGCATCTCATATTAGCGCCAGACCTTCTAGGATGTGGACGAAGTCCACGTCCTGTTGACAGTCTCTACACCCTTACAGACCAAATTGAAGCCATAGAGAAATCCGTTATACAGAAATACAAGTTAGAGAGCTTCCACTTGGTGGGGCACTCCATGGGCTCGATCATTGCCCTTGCACTCGCTGCACGCTGCCCTCGGAGGGTTAGGTCAATTACCCTGATTGCGCCTGTGTATCCTCCCAGCTGTCTAAACGAGGACGGGGAAATTGCACATGTCCCATGTGATGCCTTCTTCTCCTTCCTCGATCCGCTAACAGTAAGTTTATTTCTAATGCTCCAAATCATATTTGCTGAGCTTTTCTAAGGTTAACTCAATGGCATTCTTTGCTGGGGCAATGGCATTCTTTGCTGGGGTTTTGTTTACTGGGATTTTGTTTTTATGCGCTCGTGAATTGTTGTGGCAGTTGAAAGGTATCCGTGCGCTCACTGTTTGCAAGTACTATAACATCAGCCGACTTCTAGGGCATTTATTCTACGCGAAACATACGTTCTGGGTGGATCGCTTCCACAACCTCATTGGCAAAAAGTAAGTTCAATTGCCACCCAAGCTGTGCAGCTTTACGTTTCTGGAGTGCATCCTGGTTCTAAATGTCCTAAAATTCTTCCCTTAATTGATTTTGTTAAATTTCCCTAGTAGCGCACCTTGCAAATTTAGTTCGGGGATTCTTTGAGCTTCAGTCATCAATTCTTTGAGAATATGTGTGAATTTTGAGAGGTGGACTTGGCTTGCAGGAAAGAGTATCCAAGATCATTTATCCACGATTATCTTACAAACTACCATGACGCTGCTTGGCATATCGCTCACAACTCCTTGCTGGCGGGCACACATGCTGTCATTCCAGCATTGATAAATCTCAGGGAAAGTGGGCACCAAGTTCTCGTCATTCACGGTGAGATTGACACATCGATCCAGTTCCATTTGGCAGAAGAGATGAGCCGCACTTTCTCGAACGTGAAGCTTGTGGGAGTGCCTGAGAAAGGGCATGTTGATGTGGTCTGGGGTCGGGCCAAGGAGAATTCGTCTTTGATCGAGAAGGCAATCCGTGACGGAGATGCCCAGTGGTCTAGATCGAGATAGTTCAGAGCTAGCTGGGCGCTCATGTAGCATCTACAATGAAGAGATCATTGATGAGCATTTATTGTAACGCTAGTGAATTCTTTCATCACCCCCTCGCAGAGAAACTCTGTAGGGACTCGGAGTGATTGAGTTCTAGTGCTAGGAACATCAGCACTGAAGTGCAAATGTAGTTACTCATACTGCAAGTGTAAATATTTTTATTTTAGATGAATGCAAATGCATACTATCAACACCTAGTGTCGTTCTTGAATACTCCAACCCTGTGTTTTTGATGGCGTCTGTTAGAGATCAATTTTGCTTGATATGTAGACCACTCTGTAGTCATTTTCATGGCAAGTGTAGGGCGTTTTCGTTTGTACAAAGAAATTTTCAAATGTCATGTTAACTCGTCTCTATTTCGTTACAGTGGGTTTGAGCCCCGAGAACCGACTCTAATTTTGTAATTTTGCACAGATTTTTTACTTATTGGAAATTCATACTGAACTTTGCCCAATTAGCCACGCAATGTTGTAACAAAAGTGAATTAGATACCATCAATGCTCGGACATACACGTACCTCTAAATGAAAGAACAGAACATCAAAGCAAAACCTGGAATTTCAACAGGACAGCGAGAAGATGGGACATAATGTTCTTAGGCTGATGTCAATCAACTTGCGTCCGGCTTTGACTTCGTAGACAAAGACGCCGTGAGAAGAACGGAAAGAATTGGAGTATGAATAGCGATTATGAGATTAGTGCACAGCACAAGCAACCATAGTATATTGCTCAAGAACTATGTGCTCTCAGATGGAAGTGTGCCAAAACAAGCAGGAGTTCCGCAGTAGCATGGTAACACTTTCCCAGCTACTCCGCCGCAACTGCCATAGCTGTATCTCAACTCTTCTCCATCGTGAATATCTTGCCTGGCAAATAACGCTAATCTGGGGATTACTGAACCAGATGCTCTCACTAAGCAGGGCAACAAATTGCCCCCGTCACAAGCGTGATTGATAAAACGAGCCACATTTCCTACTTTAGTAGCATCTACGTTGATCCGAACACACGCCTCTCCTGAGGGCATGTACTCTCGCACAACCAATAACGCAGAACCACATGAGGTATTTCCGGCATCATATAAGCTCTGACGCTCTCGAGATTGCACAGTTGTTAGCAGTTCACCTGTGCAAAAGAATTTCAGTAGTAAATATATAGTTCTTTTTGCATTTCTTTAATGATCCCCCTGTTAAATATATGATAACAAAATTCATTAAATTAAGAGATGATCTCATGCCCACCTGCGTATTCACAGACGAATGAGCCTTTGCTGATGTGCTGTGCAGCGTGTAAACCCCAACCCGTAAAACGTTGACGAGTGACAACGACGCGGGCAGAGAGACCTTGCTGTGTAACTCGATGGCAACAATCTGCACTGCAGATACATGCTCCTCCACACTCCAAAACAAGTGGCGGTTCTTCATTCACACCACTGTCGTCATCAGAAAGTTCGAGGGACTTCCACTCAGTCCAGAAAGTCATATTTTCTGAGGCATCATTGGCCTTCAATGAAACCTCATTAGAAAAGATGGACTTTGAGTCAATCCTATTTTTAGACGCATCTGTCCCATTGCTACGTTTGTCCACTAACTGCATCTTGGACTCGTGCGTGTATGCGTTCACTCCGTCGCTTGTGAACCCGCAGGCACACGTAGAATTCGTATCGTCAGATATGACATGTTTACCATCGCCATGATTCTGCTGTGCAAGAACGCAACGGTCAGCACACCTGTATTATCAAGAGTAATAGTTAGCATCACAACTACCTGATACAATATTCTCCACTGGTCAATCAACAGAAGTATAAATACAATTCTGCAACATAATCGAATGTGAAAAGACTGCAAAAACCCGAAATTTGCCATCTGTAGTATCCACGAATTAATTAAGATTGATCAAAAGAGGGCGTGCAGGCAAGTATAAAATAAGAAGAAATACGAGTGCTTAAACTCTAAACCCTAAATTATGACGGTATTAAAATGATTCTAGGACTATGCTCACCTGCATCCCACGGAGCTTAAAACCCCGGAGAAAGGATAAATACCCAGATCCTCCTGACACCTTCGCATTACAGAACCATGCTCTGTACACGAATCGGATTCCACACCCCAAGGGTGCGCATACCTCGATGCATTGCGGCAACAAGAGGGGGTATATTGGAACCACGGGTAGCGGAGGGAATCAAGGTCATTGCGTACCGGCACAGGCCACCGCTCCAGTCCCTGAGCTGCGTCCGCCATCCTGCGATGAGTAAGGTTCCGGACAGCAGTCGCCATGAATTGAGACACGCATGCAAGGTTCGCAAGCTCCTGCGGTCGCAACCACGCCATCACCAACTCCAAAATCTTAGTCCCTGCTTCTTTACCTAGCGATATCCCATCGCCTCCACAAATATTCCTCTTCATCTCAATACGAAACTAACAAATCCAGCTAATTTCTTCCGTGCAAACCATATGTGCGTTGCTTGCAGCCTTGCACGCAAACTCAAGCGGAATTTACATTCAGATTAACATTATCTTCGAATCGCACATCTGCAACCTCACACATTGGCAACTCATCACGACCCAACATCGTTTACAACTGACAGGGAGTTAGTTAAGAAGTCGACGATCAGAAGCCCTACGAACAGAAAAACCTACTCGATTTCCACCCCGAAAGGGTCGAAGAACATGAGCATCTCTCGAACAATGAAGAGATAGCACCAATTGATTCAACTGTTTCAACTCTGTAACTGTCACTCGGTGCAGAACTGGAATCCCTCACAACTTCCGAATTCTCCCCCAGTTCTGTTGCTCCAGATTTCAATGCTATCAGAAGCTGAATGCAGACATTTCCTATTTGAGCTCAAGCTGTACATCATCCATGATTCTCATCAAGACATCGATTGGAACAATTGCAGCAGTTGATTCTCTCTCTTCATTTGTATTGACATACAACGATTGTTCTTGATTTGGAATATCAAGCTCAAACTTCTATCAATCTGAGCATTGTAATGACCATAAATGTGCTGTAAAATAAGCATTTACAAAATAAATGTCGAAAAACCCCGAAGTTCGTTGTGTTAACTTGCCTTCCAAAACTGCCAAAAAAAACACCCCTTTCAACAAAATGACTTTCCATATCTTTTTTCTTTTTTGCATTTTCAACACTTTCAACAGTAAGATCTTGATCCTAACTTAAATTAGGGTTAGTCTACCAAATTTTAGGTGCTAAGGTCATTGCATGTAAGAGATCATAACATTCAAAGCCTAGGAAAAAGTTGTTCTTTGGTGTTGCACAAAAAGCTTAGTAAGACTTGTGCTAGGCACAATTTCTGTGATTTTTAACTTGTGATTTCTAACTTTTTGGATGAATTTGTTTTCAAAGATATCTTTAAGTTGTTTAAGTTGAGCACATGCATGTAAAATCTTAGAGCAAGGAGATGTGTATAGCACCTTCAACTGAATTGTTTTCAAGGAGTAGGTAGTTGAAAAACTAATTACAAAGAAATTGTTTCAAAAAATCATACCATTTAAAATAAAATAGAAAAACTCTACTTAAAAAATGTACAGTAAGTAGAAGCACTTTTACATGCTTTAGAAAGAGGAAAACAAAATACAAAAAAATGTTAAAAACTGAATTGGCATGGATTTTCGAAGACTATGATACTTCAAAAACTTTACTTGAGTTCATTTAATAAAATGAAGGGCAAGGATGAAGAAGTAGGCACAGGATCCCAGGTTTGACCGTTCAAGAGATTTGTGCAAGGCTTGAGACAAGGGTTCTCCAGTTCCAGAGATATTTGCATGTGCTGAAGAAGGCCATCCTTTGACAATCTCACATTACATGCAAGATTTGGTAAGGCTCACTGGTCTATTCTCCTTGATTTATTTGTGGTTCTGCTAACTCTTATCCATCCTTCGATTTACGACGCCACTTTTACAAGAGAATGTGCAGTCTAGCGGTTTGCATCTCCCTTAAGAGCAATCTCTTAAAACATAAGGTAAAGTTAGATGCAGTATAAATCACGTGTTCGCGTTTCGTGCAGAAAAAATGTGCACGATCGGATTATTGAATTGGCAAGCCAAACAATCTTGTTGATTCTAGGTCATACTCATGGAACATATATGCGAGGCCATACACTTGTTACTTAGCAGGAAATACGTGTTGTCGTGCAGTAGTCGTCTTGATCGTGTACATCCAATCTAGTCTAGCTCTTTTTCGTAGTACTTAATGTCATGCGGAAGGTTAGGTGATATTCTCAAGTTTCATTGACATTTTAATTAATTGCTGTAATGCAGTCGACTTTCGTCGTGTCCGACAGGGGTATATACTGTAAAGATGAATTTGAGCGGACTTAAGCATCCATCTCTTCTTCAAGTTCAAGTAGATCCAGTAGTTCCAGGCAATGGAGTGTCTGCGGCTGTCGTCTCCACTGGTCGAACTGCAAGTACATGTTCAGCTTGTGAGCATGACCCTGCAAACTTAAGAGAATCGGCAGGTAATGCGGTAGTCGGTTTGGGGTTTACCGGTAAGCCTCATGTGCAGAGAAGTCACCGTACTCCTTCTAAATCAAGTTGTTAAAATGATTCAAGACTAACCATGAATGAGGCTGACATTGGGGAAATGAGGTCTACGGCTGCAGGTGAGAAGACCTTGAATCCTTCGGATGGACCACTAGTAGCCTCTCGCACTGTCGCTGAGCATGAAGTCTCGAATTCTACTTTGGTCGGAAGGGCACTATCGAGTGCGGAGAATTCACAGCGTCATGAAAGCAGAGAAGCTCCAATCTCAGTAGCAGCAATTTCAGATGGTTTGGAACAACAACCTCACAAGTAATTTGACTTATATCCACAAGTCAATATGAAAGAATCATTGAAGGTGCCAATCACTACAATGCGAAAGGTTGATACTCTGGGTAAAATTGATATTCTTGACCCCGGGAATCATATGATTAGGGACTTGACTGGGGTAGAGGAGGTCCCTACTCTTCGGCACGAGAGGACGTGCTCAGAATGTGGGCAGGTGGGTGATGAATCTGGACGATCGTCATTAAACATTGGCGAAACAGAACTCATGCGGAGCTGCACTCAAATTCTGGAGATCCATTGCTTACACAATCTTAAAGCACATTAGCGCAATCCTTGTGCATTTCCCCTTTGCTGCCCAATTCCTAGATACCCGTTGGCTGCAGGTTCTACATCTTCGAGCAAGGTGTGCCGACCTCATGTGACCCAGTTCACTGTTGATATATTGAGAACTGTTCATTTAACGCTTTTATCAAGTAAGCAACAGTCGACCTCTGACGAAGTGATATCTCCACTTCGTAAGGTGGAACAAACACTTTCAATGGCGGAGAGATTTATCGACATCAAAGACAGGATGGGCAATATGCAAGCTGTAATACACCAAGTCGACGCATATTTGTTTTCTAGTCCATAGAAAGTCATAGAAGTCATTAAAAGATTTGAACTTAATCTTCAAGAATCTAGAACGAGCCCACTGCCAAAGTGTTCCTGTAAGCACAAGCCCTCTTGATAAGGTAAGTCACTTGCCAATGCTGCTTGGTGTGCCTTGTAATCCACTTGAAAATGTATATTACTCTGCTCCAATTTTATTGTTTTTTTTATTCAAGGCAGTGTCGGTTCTTCACTCATGTGTTCATCACGGATTTATGAATTGGTCAACACATGGACATATTTCAAAACATGAATCAGGAAAGGAAGCTTGCTAAAAGCTGCAAATAGATTTTGATTAACTTAAAATTGTTATAACAAATTGCAATCACATCTGAACATAAAATATGAATCATTTCAGTAATTTCTCACGTTCATGAAATACTGCAGTAGCAGGTGAATATGAACAAGTATCAAAAATAACCTTTTGAAAAAAATTCCACGAATAGTGAATTTTGCAAAATACATTTTGCTCAAAAATTAAACATTCATAGGTTGGGAATGAACTCCAAATTCAGAATTTAGGTCATGTGTTTGGAGTGAATCAGGCAATGTTGGGTTGAAAGGAAGACTAAAAATAAAAACTCGAAGCATTCACAATCAACAACGGTCTCCCAGAGTTACCATGTTTGATTCTTAGAGTAATAAAAGCTAAAGACGCTTTAAAGTTCAGTCAGTAATTAGAAATTTGCAATCCTTGACCGTGACTAGAGGCTGATATGAATAATGCTTTGGAAGAACACAAACATTCTTCTAAATAATACCCTCCAAAATACTTCTGAAAAAGAAAGTTCAAATACTGAAGGCGACTATTGAAACACAGTTTACAATCTATGAGTTAACAATTTTTGTAAAGTGATTTTCCACACGGAGAATAACACATACCTATAGTACTCTGGCTAAATCAGCAGGTGAACAATGATTCAATACCATGATTCACTATAATGGAGGAAGAGTGACATCTTCGAACAACTTCCAAAGACTGAGGATGTCCACCTCTATTTGACACGAGTCCAGCACATTAAGTTCAGTCAGACGATAATAACCTTCAGTAAGAATATAATTCTTTGATCAAATGCATTGTGGAAGAGAAGCATTCACAATGAAATTGGCATTGAGCATCCCTGATGGAAGCCAAAACAGACTGAAATGATCAGACTTGCTTTCGATTAAAATAAGCTGAAATAAGTCTTCCAACTGAAGCCCTGTTTGCAAACGATTCGACCTCTAGAATACTCATACAGAATACAGGATCAGGGCTTAGAGATGCATCAACCAATGGGGTTGCGGTTCTCGTCAATGTGGAGCATCAACAAATGCTCCCCTTCCGAACCCTTGGGTCCGTGCTCATATAGAGCTGGTAAGTAGGCTTTGTACGCAGGCACGTATCTTGAGACAAAATCAGCCACCTGAGTCACACAACGCAGAAGTACTGCATGAGATACAAATCAACAGAAAGGACATTACAAGAATCTGTGGGGAGAAAGTATCTAGGGTTGAATGCCCTGCGAGTTGCTACAGAAACGATAACATTTGATGTTGTTTAATTGTCAAATATCGACCCTTTGATTCATCTGAGCTACTCGGAATTTGGAATAGGAGCAATGAAAAAATGTCTATCAGGCTTCGTGGAATTAGTTATAAAAGAAGAGGATTTGGAGATAACCTGCTCGTCTGTCATTCCTGGCTTTCCATCCATTCTCATTGCGATCTCCGCCTGGCCAACATCCACATTTGAGTCACATCTCGAGGCCAGAGTATTAACTGCTACTTGATTGGAATTCAATATTGTACATCTGAACTCCAGCTACATTCAGTAGACTTCGCAAAGATAAGTACGACGAGACGTGTCTTTGACTTGCCCAACCCATTCACAAAAGCATCACGTAGCCAAACTGCCATACTTTAGAGTTCTTACCTGTAAACGCCAGCGGAATACCCAGGTAGGGTCATCGACTTGAATAACGATCCAAGAGTCAATATATTTGTGCCAAGCATCATAGTATGCTTCCAAATTTTTGTTGATAGGTGCAAGCTGCAAAAACACATGCAAATCAGAACACACAAATATGAGATAAATTCTACAATACCAAAAGCCTTTCAACACAGCTTTAAAAGTGTAGACGGGACGACCCACTGGCATACCTGTGGGTCAACGGAAGTAACTTCAGCTTCGTTCTGAGGTTCAAACCCCAACATCCAACCTTCAAACAGCACTACCTGTTCAGGCCATCCGCAAACTATGTAAGGAACCCCTAAGATACATAATGCATAGGTTAATGAAGCAACAAAGACACATGGAGTCTTTAATTCAGGAAGTGCAAATCTGAGAAAACTAGGCCCGAAGATTACACTAAACGATATCATGTGAAGAACTACGTGGGGTAAATGCTTGAAATCCTCAAGAGTGATATAAAATAAATCACTCACATGGAATGCTACATAGGGTCATATAAAATTTAAAAATTAACTTCATTAGGTAGACCACACCATCTGGCAGGCTGACAATAGAATTGCAAGGCATTGCTACACACGCTCCGCATAGTTCAGGAAAACTATTATTCTAGAGAGATAAGATGCAAAGAGGTTGGAGCAATCTGGACAGAAAATCACGGGCTAGTCTAAAACACAGAAGGAAAGCACTACCTTCACTGGACCCTCAATCTTTTCCCATTTTGATGGATCTGCTCGGTCGCCTGAACCCGAAAATGCAGACTGCAACAGTCGGGAAGCATTGTTAGAGTTAATTCCATCTACTTTCATAAATAACAACAATTGATTATAGAATGAGCACATCAGCATTCACAAGCTCTGACATATTAATCATTCACGCTCCAATCCTACCAAGTCTTGGGAATAGGGAACAAGAGAGTCTCCTGTACACTCAACAGTGAACAAATTGGTGTACCGTAGTTTCCTGGGAAGTTAACCAGAGGAAAACAGAGACGATCCATTACCTTGTCATATCGTGGGAGGTTGAATTCCTTACCTGCAAAACAATAGAGAAAATACTATGTGAGAATCCCCAAGTGATAAGCACTTATACGCGTATGTGAGTACGCAGAATACATGTTTTCAAATATATTAAAATCAGCCACGACGCTATATGCTAGCTCTTTTTATATCTTTTGCATGGGGGTGCACGATTTGCAGAAGCAGCCATTGGTTTCGACTCATAAGTCACCAAAACATGGCTTGCAGACGGAAGAGCAAAAGATGGGCCTCTGGATCAGGCTGGGTGGCTCCGACGCATATGCTACTAAGGGAGAGCTAGGGCTTGAACCAGGCAGGTGGAGGCGAACCACTGGTTGTGAGGCACCGCAAAGCCTCTAATGTCTCAGTTCCAAGCTTCAAATCATGACTTCCCGCATTACCCCGCAACTGGTTGCGCACGTACAACGTTTTCATTAAAAAAGAATGCATTGTGGGGACATATTCAGGTGAGAATTTAACCGAGCATCAAAGTGGAAAAATAATAAGGTAAAAAGAATAATCATACGATGTTTGCATTATGTTGCAACCAAAACCTGATAATCAGTTAAGGAAAGTTACCTCCAGAAGTCTGTTTCCGGGATTGCTCTCAGAGAGCTTTTTCTGCAACATCAACAGGATACAAAGAAAGTATCATAAACAATGTAAGTTGTGATGTGGCTGCCACTCTCTGCACGATAATGAGGTAATAACAGATCCCTTCTTTGGATTTGCTTTCGATTCATGTGAATTACTCCTCAAAGGATCCACATATTGTTCTGCTAAGCCAGGTTCAAATAAAGCAAGCAGCATCCATGGCAATAAGTGTGCAAGAGGCAACTCCAAATCATACCTGTTCAGCTGCTGTAAGGTAGAAGTCATCTATTGAAATAGAGGCAGCTCGACTGTTAGACCCACCACAATATGCAAACACCTCTCAATCATAAACCCAAATACCCCACAGTACAATCTCAGACAAACTCAAAGTCCGTACATAAACAATTCACGAATAGGAATATAAACTACCTGCCACAAGAGTTGAACAGATACTCTAGGGAATAGACAATCGTTGTTTTCCCGCAACCCTGCGGAGCACTGATGCCGATCTGTAGATAGGCCAGAGGGTACACAAGTAATCAGACATCGCTTAACTATCACATCTATCTTGTAAGTCGTGCCAAAGCCCATATCATCTTGCAATCCTTGGCTACATCCAGTTAACATAGTCATAATCATTTCAAAGATCAACTTCCCGCAATGCAGTGTTCATGTTTGAACACTATTTATCTCTAATCCAATTCAGATAACGGCAGATGTCGTACTCGAGCATACTACTTCGAATATAGAAGGACATGAGGAAATGATAATTACCACCAAAGGAGGCACTTCTTCGCCTGATTTGAACTTGTTAGTATGAATTTCCAATTCGTCTTTGCACCATAAAAACACGGGCACATAGTAATGATAGATACGAACTTTCTCTGAGTGAGAAAGATTAAATTCATCAAACCGCAGTTGGCGTGAAAGCTTGACTCCTAGCGCTAGCCACTCGTCAATCCGCTCTGCGACCTTTTCTTTGGTGAACCTTGTCTTCTCCAGTAAAGGCCCACTGCACATGAGCAAGCCAATGGAAAGAAGAGCATGAGCGAGGAATAATATGGCTCGATGCCACTAAAATCAATTGCATCTTTTCCTTCTACACAGATCATGAGAAGTTTCCTTAGTTGAAATGCCATCCACCTGGCTGGCCTAAATTGCCATTTTACAGTTCATAGGAATTCCTTTTCACTGCCATTCTGCCACATCTTGGAAGAACGTAAAGAAAAGCGGTGTAACAACTGACAACGTGATAATGCAGTAAGGTCTCTTCATCTCATCGCATTCAAAATTAAAGTATCATTTACTCTTCTAGCAAGCAAGTCAAAATCATGCATCCGAGTATTGAATTCCACACTGGTGACTGCTCCCATCTCGCATGTTTCAATTTTTAAGCAGTATTTGCGTGGTTTCAGTGCATATCCGCATACAAATTGTACTCTCTCAAATCCATTCATTCTTAAATAGGAACCCTTCCCAATAGTTTCTTAAATTCTCATGCTTGATATATTCTCTAAACACGTCACCATCTGTGCTATCCTGCTACCGTAACATGATCGGTCACTCACTGTCGCTCACAAGAGTGTCTCGTAAACTAACATCAAAATCAACTTTACAATAACAAAGAGAATTGGATTCTTTAGCTCTCCTAGTCGTGCTGACGGCATTCAATCCTCCAGGGAAATTGCAAAAACTGGACAGAAAACAAAGAACGAACTCAAAAAAAAAAAAAAAAAAAAAAAAAAAAAATCGATTTAGAATAGAAATCTGAGCCTCACCTGCAAATAAATTCGAACAAATCCAGCAAAGGAAATACAGGCGGCTTGGCAGCTTCACTCTCAGCTTTCACCTTCACAACCTCCCCAGCTAATCCCACCTCCCCCATGCACATCCTCATTACATCCCTCCTGCGCTGCGGGATGACCACCATTGTCCCCGTCATGGAGCTCTCAAGCCCAACCCGCCTCCTTCCAATCGCCCCAAGAATTGGCACCTTTGAAGAGGCTAACGGTGTCGCCATGGACACCGCACTCGACCCCAGCATGACAGCGGCCTCCATTTCTCACGCACCTTCTCCAACACTCCTTCCCGGATTCACGCTACCAAATGCCGAGCTCTAATTCCACAATGCGATGCACAAACTCAGCAAACGATAACATCAAAGGGAGGATTGCCAATCTGCAGCTTCCAGGGTCCCAGAATTGCAGGAGAATTTCCGAAATCGCAAAGAATGCCAAGAGCAGGAACAATTCTAATCTAGAGCAAACATGTCCCTGGATTCGAGTCAAGCAATGTAGGCCCGGGAGCAACGACCCCGGACTCAGAAATCGACCCAAACTGGACCTCACACGAGGGCGCCCCGATCAATCCATCCGCACCAAATCCAACACCGAACCCACGTAGGCAGTCTCCCAATTCCCGAGAACGGAAACCACAAACGAGGCGAAGTGAAGAGATGGATCATCATCTTCCTCGTATGGATGGGTGGATCACTGTATGTGTGGATGAAACTACGGATGGATGAGCCAGCGTGGCGCAATCTGCTAATGGGCTTCGCGGGGAATCGAATCACGTCCATCCCCATCCAGACCACGTCCCACTCCTCGCTCCTCTTGTCTCAGATTTGGATGAATACTTTGTCATCCGCTTATATTTATGACAGCGGATGAGGGCTGCCCCTCGCAAACAACCTTGCTGCCCTATTGCCCGCTGCCCGCTGCCCGGCAACAACCAGGACCTCTTGTCCCACTGCCCACCTCTGCCCGCTGGAGATGTTGATGTGTTGCATGGTGCTGCTTTTTTAATTGGGGGATATATTGGCTCATAATGTAGAAATTCCTTTGTTTCTAGTGACTTTGGTGGGAATTCAATACACATTTCCAACAATTTTGTAAATGATTGTTTGTAATGGTTTCGATTTCAAAAAACTTACTCTGAGCAATTACTTACCATTCTTGTATTCAATGTTGATCTTTCTATGTGCAACTTTCAATGGGGTTTTTGCATTTAATAAGATTTATTTAAAAAAACTACATTGGCATGTGACATCTTTCAATAAGAAATGATTAAATGTCGAAAGGTTAGAGGTTCTTATGTTCTAAGAGAGAGAAAAAAAAAAAGAAAGAAAAAAAAAAAGGGTGAATGATGTGTATGCAAAAAGTTAAAGAGAGGTAGTCAATATATGTTGATATTGCACAAACTCTATATTAAAAAAATTATAATATATTTTTTCTTTTTTAGTATTATAATTTTTTTAGTATTACAATATTAGATTTGTCACCATTGTATAATATGAGAGAATTGTTAATGTTACATCTCCAATTAATATTGCTACACCCCATGTGAACTCCTTGTAGACAACTAGCTAATAACATGATTCATTTGTTTGCACATTTTTCTCTTTCTTTGCTTTAAGAAAGGGTGGTGGTTGAGAGGAAAACAACAAATAATTTACAAAAAAATAGGTTGCAAGCTATTTTTTTAAAAATAAAAATAAAAATATAGTACTTGTCACCAAAAATATTTAATTCAAGTTTATAATATGTTCTTTTATTATTATTATTAATCTTTAACTGCCATTAACACAAAAAAAAATTATTTATTTATTTTATTTTTGGATTAATATTAGAGTTAAATATTTGGCTGCCAAATATTTAATGTATTATTGAACTTTATTTTAGACCTTCTACTTTTTAAAGAAGATATTACTAGATGCATTTATTGATCATGTCATGGAAACGAAGATGTCGATTAAGTGATAGTTGGTATTGTACTTTGTTCAAAATATATTTGATAGCTTGTATTATATACATTATGTTGTAGTTATAAAACACATTTGATATTGAATTATCACAAATACCATTGTGAACAATGACTTACATTTATTGTAATTTTTGTTTAGATTTAATGTTCATAGAGACTAAATAATAGGTTAATAATTTTTTTCAAAAATTATTAACATATAATTAATTATCAAAATAATATTTAATTTGTTAAGTTCTAACATTTTTTTAATGCATTCATGTTTACTTTAAAAGAAATAATTATAAATCTATTCCTTATTGTATATTTAATTTGGTATTTTTACTCATATTATTCTTATTGCAAAGTTTATAAATCAAAGAAGATAAAATTAATTTTTTTCAGTTTCATTTAGAGTATAGAATACTAATTATTTACTGATACAATCAAACTCAATGTATATGTTGTGATATATAACATGTACCATATTTTTATTGATTTTCTATTTTTCTAATATAAACAGAAAAAAATAGTAAATTTATATTATTGACAATTAAATAGGCATTTGAGAAATTGAAGTCAAGTTTCTTCTAATATTTCCTTAAATTATAAAATATATTTAATTTGGTCTGATAAGCCTTATTTGCATATTTTATTTGTTGGTGAATTTTAAACTATAGACTTTAAAAACTTGTTTTATGACATGAAATCACAATCTCAATTGTTTTATTTCCCATTCTATACTGTTTTCATGTATCATTGAATAATATGAAAAAACTTCTAGCAATCTAATCATCAGAAATTATTAATTTAATTCCCACTTCAAACCAATATATCCTTTACACCAACAAACATTACTTAGGCAATGTGATTATCTAAAGCAAAAAAATACCAAAAACTTAGCAATAATCAGTTGACTACTGGTTAATATAAAAACCTACCAAAATAAGGGTTACATTACAAGTTAGTAAAAGAAAACATATTTGTATTTTTAAAAGCTTAAAAGCTTAAAAATTAACATAAAAATAGGTAATATAGAGAAAATATTGGTTGAGAGAGAAATTAACTAAAAAAGGAAATTTCAAAATTTCAAGTTACGAATATAACAATTATTTAATAAAATGATACATAGTGCTTCAACTGAAAGTAATTTGATATATATATATATATATATATATATATATATAAATCTTTGTGGTTTCTATAATGATTTGTAATTGATACTTTATCCTTGTTTTTTTCTTTTTGTATCTTTGACATGTAAATGTAATTTTTGGATATATGCAATACACAATATAATTACTTAAATAACATACTCATACACCAAACATATTCAAATTCAATCAATGACCTGTAAGGTACGCACACATATTTTATTATGTGCAGTGTTATAAATGTCTATGTATAAATATTGTTTATTGTTTATTTTGATTTTTTTGAGGAATTTGTAAAAATGATTGTACAATTGTAGATCTCATCAAGATCGTCATAAAACTTTTCTGAATTTCTACTACTTTTGATGACTCATAATGTAGAAAAACAACTGTATTATTTAAATAAACATATCCATGATTCTTCAATTTAGCTAGTCTTCGTGCACTTGGTCATGATTCGACCTTTGCATTGTCTTCCAATGCCATCTGGGCATTCATTCTTCAGAAGGACACCCAGTAAATTCTCCTCAGATTAATCAACTCACAATGTGGATTGAATAAACAACCCACTAATAACGCACAACTGATGTGTCGAAAATCTTCGATGTTGCCTTAATAATACCTTTTGCTGGATGATTCACTCTGCACATATACTTAAAATATAAATATTAGCAAACCAACTTTAAATGATGGTTATGGTAGCACTATAACTCTTTTTCATATATATATATATATATATATATATATAAAACCAAAGACAATATGTTTAAACATATATATATATATATATATATTTAAACATATATATATGTTATAAACCAACGACAATATTTCAGAATATATTTTTTGAAATTCACATTGCAATTTATCCAATAATTTAGGTATCTTTCACTATCAATTTCAAAAACATCTAATTACTCAATGATCATACTTGTATAAGATATTTCAATATTTATTACATGAAATTATACTTTAAAAACCCGTCAAAAGAGTTATAAATCATGCATATCATCCAAATACTTGTTAGTACAACATAAATGAGTTTATTCATATCCATAAACTAATAGTTAACACATATCGATGATAGCCACTACAATCGAAAATGAGCGCAATATTAATCCCCTAATACTCGGGACACCATCGCACTCGCTTGGCAGTTATACCTTCGGCTGCACACGCACCGTCAGTGTTTGATCACACTTGTTGGCACATTCCTGCTCCTCCAAATCCTCGCGGCAAGCACCTCGAATAAGGAAGCAGCGATGTTCGAACAAGCGTTTGAAGCTTAATGCGCAAGGAAACTAAGTTAGAAAGCCATGCTGGATGGAACTGATGGTGATGGAGAGGGCGTTGGTAAGGAGACTGAGCATGGGTTATACAACTCCAACACAAGCAAACACTCTCTCGCACATGCAGAAACTCTTGACACGATAAAAACAACAGCAGTGTAGAAAGTGAGCGAAGATAGGGCCCCAGGACAAGACGAATGGATGGGATAAGGATGAAAGTATCCAAATTCTGTTGATTATGCCTTTTTAATCATCCATTGGGTGGCGACATGGCGCTTGAAGCGGCAGAGCTTCCCGCGCCCGCCCGAGTTTCCTCTGCTTCCGTTCATTTTGAACTTGAAATTTCAAATTCTTGGTCCGAAATCGCAACTTCAGGGCTGCGATGAACGTGGTTTGAGCCAAACGGCACAGTATCCGAGCGGGGTTTCAGTGCAGTTGTCGCAAATTCGTTGACAACCGTCTTGTATGATTCGCCCTTTTTCTGAGCCTGAGTGTTGGTCCTTCGGGTGTGTCGGGATCGGGCCTTCCCGGAGTGTTGAGGGAAAGCTGGATTGGGGTTCGATATTCTGCGATTGTAGGGGTCCGGAAGTGTAGGAGCCTCATTGGTGCTCCATGTGCGAGGTATTTGTTAGGGATCATTGCTCGCGTTGTCCAGTTCGTGTTGAAGCAGGGGTAGTTGTTGGCCATGGGTCGGGAAGTCGAGATTGCGGGGCATAATCCGTCGCCCGGGGGACGAGGGAAACCCCGGCTGTTCATTAAGAAAATGGTTTTGGAGAATTTTAAGTCGTATGCTGGGAAGCAGTATATTGGGCCTTTTCATAAGGTACGAGCCGTGCTAATATCATCGTTATCTTATCGAATTGCTATGTATGTGAGAGAATTGGTGTCGTGGTGTCAGTAAGCAGCTTGACAGTCTGTTTTTGAATCTGCAGTGTTTCTCAGCTGTGGTTGGGCCAAATGGTAGCGGGAAGAGCAACGTGATTGATGCCATGCTCTTTGTTTTCGGCAAGCGAGCCAAACAGGTGCTGCTTCCTGGCGTTTGCTTGATCCGTATTTTGCTGTTGTCTGATCGTCTCATTCGAACTATACTCTACCTTCTGGTGTTTGAAAATGGTTTAATGTTAACACGCAGTGTAACTTGCACCGTTAAGAAGCCCATTCACTTGATTTTTCTGACATCCCTCATTGCGATTCAATTTTCCCATTTCAGTAGTAACTCTCTCGTCCGCCACATTTTACGAACAGATTCTGAACTCGTTAAGGCTGCTTGCTAGGTTTTGGCACGAAGCATTCGATTATTATCATTCGATTATGGAGTACTGTCATGTCGAATTTTATGAATCTCATGATACGCTGGCTGTCGTCCTTCAGATGAGGCTAAACAAGGTGTCAGAGCTCATTCACAACTCCACAAACCATCAGAATCTTGATAAGGCTTCCGTGTCAGTTCACTTTCAGGAAATTATTGATCTGGTAATAGTCACATTTCTCTTACTCAGTTTTCATGCCAAGTACAACTTTTGTGTAAGTAACAAGCTTGCATGATTGAGTTCATTTTTCTATTTTCTGATGGCTTATCCTGGCATTGGGATTGTTAAGAAGCGCCTTGTTATTTTCGCACAGGAGAATGACAATTACGAGGTCGTGCCGGACTCAGACTTTGTGCTCACAAGAGTTGCATTTCGTGATAACTCATCCAAGTACTACCTAGATAGTCGGATGAGCACGTTCACTGAAGTCACTCAGATCTTGATGGCCAAAGGAGTCGACCTTGAGCATAACCGTTTCCTTATCTTACAGGTCAGGCTTCACTTCAACTATTAAACTGCTGATGAGACTTAGAAGCTCATCAGCGCTTAATTTTATCGATGCTTCATTGCTGAATTGGGATGAACGACCTACATACTGTGGTTACGATTTGATAATAATGTTTTTGAAATTACCTTTTCGTAGAGAATATACATTATTTGTGAGTCTAGTTTAGGCGTTAATTTGAGTTTCAAGTGACTCCTGACTCCAAAGGGGAAATGCTTCTCAGCAACATTTAGCATCTGATTATATCATTTGACCCCAATGAACTAACTAACCTGTTTTTTTCCTTCGGTTAGCTAACCATACTAGAGGCATGAGATCAGTGTTTTGCCAATTTGTTTTTGTTTGCTGTTGGAACGTATTTTCTTCTAAATTTTATCGTGCAATGCAAAAGTGAGAATTGGAAGAGAAGATCAATTTATAGTATCTGTTGCTTTTTCTCTGCAGGGTGAGGTGGAACAAATCTCTTTGATGAAACCCAAGGCACAAACTCCACATGATGAAGGTTTCCTTGAGTACCTTGAGGACATCATTGGCTCCAACAAATATGTGGAGCGGATTGACGCATCTAGCAAGCAGTAAGCCAGCTTCGTGAAATGATCCTATCGCCACCTTAACCCCAGCTCTAAGTTTTTTCACAATTACTTTTCATGATAGTTTCCGTATTAGTTACATGGCCTAAATGGTGATATTAATGCTGTTGATGCGAACAAATGTGACCTTGCACGTGAATATTTCAAGGCATTTTTACTCCACGATTACTACGGCTGTCTGAAGTGGAGTTTATTGCTCTTTTTCATGGATGTGTTTGGTGTGTTCTAGGTTGGAAGAGTTAACGGAGAAAAAAGACAGCATGGTACAGCGAGTAAAAGTTGCGGAAAAAGAAAAAGGCGGTCTTGAGGTGTGCTCCATCTATTAATCGGGCTATTTTTAAGTTTTTATGGGTCGTGAGAGTGTACTTAAAGATCTACATCACAGTGGACCTGTGGAAGCATTGAGGATCGTAGTGTCTACCTACGCTCTCGGCACTGCGTTATCAACCTGTGTATATTTGGTGAAAAAATTTCCCTTCAGGGCAGGGTAATCACTTGAGCTTGTACTAATGCTGGTATGGTGATAGGGTGCCAAAAACGAAGCGGAACAGTATATGTTGAAGGAAGCAGAATTAATAAAGTGGAAGAGACATGCTGCGGGGCTCACACTTAAGGAAGCTGATGCGGAAGCTGAGGAACTGAAAAAGAAAGTAACCGAACTGGAAAATGCTCTGAAACAAGAACGGTACAGTTCTTAAATCTCATCTCCGAAGTCGCGGATATTTTATTTTATTTTATTTGTTTATTTTTTTGTCTATCTCACCTACATGGTGACTCATTCAAGCGAACAGCCTTGTAATATTGATTGCCTTTGGAGCTGTGTATTTTAATCCATCCTTCGTAGCTGCAGTTGCTTAGGCAAAAAGTCATTGCAGCATTTGTTTACAGTCAGGGAAGTTGAAGAAATAATCGAAAAGTTATCGAAATAAGTAGAATGTCTTGTCTTGCCTTGATGCCGATGTGAAGTTATTGTCTAATGCCATAGAGGAGTAGATAGTAGCCCACTTTGTAATTCTGGAATGAAAAACTTAAGTTAGTGAGTGTATTTAAGACGCTTTTCTGTTGCACTCGATGTATGCGCCTTCTTAAAGCGTGGGATTTCTTGCTTCGATTATCATTTTTTTTGTTTATCCAAACGTAGCCAGGTCTAAATAAAGAGGATATACAACAGATGTTAATTTGTAGCCTAATTCTGATTCGCGCGATCGTTATCAACTTTTGAGCAGTGAAACATATGCTTCGCATTCCGCTGAGATTAAGGAGTTGGAGATGAAGTTAAAGAAACAGACGAAACATCATGAGGTTCGCAGACCATGTTTTCAAATAACTCTAGTCCAATTAATATGAATTTGCAGATTCTGAGTATTTTTACCATTTCAATGAGATAATATGGCTGATCTGACTGTTGTTTTGTGCTGAACTGTAGGGAATTGAGGGAGATCTGAAAAGCTGTTCGGATCAATTTAAAAGCTTTGAGCGTCAAGATCTCAAGTACCAAGAGGATCTCAAGCACGTCAAACAGAAGCTAAAGAAGTTGGAAGACAAAATTGTCAAGGTGATTCCTGAAATACGTTCTGGTGTTTCGTTTGAGTAACATCGACTTCTTTGTGGAGATCCTTTGACTTTGACCAGTAGTTTTGAGGATGATTTGTAATGTCTATTTTAAGTTCATGTTTTAGAATGTCATATGTTTCTCAATTCTGTGAAAACACTTTTATTATTCTGTGAGTTGGGTTGTTTTTTTATGGCCTTAACTTTGGTGTGTTTCTCATTATTGCACTCAGGGTCTTGAGTGCTTTCAATGATGCAATTTCTTGGGAGATATTTGTAGGATAAGATTATTCAAAAACAAACAAATCTCTCTTGTGCATCAGGATACTGCTAAGATTGAAGAAGTAGAGAAGGAGACTGCAGAGTCTACTGTGCTGATTCCCAAGATGGAGGCTGAAGTTGCCCGACTCACTGAACAGCTTGGAGAGGAAGAGAAAACTCTTGAAGCATTGCAGGAAGGTTGCAAAGGTATGCGTTAGAACTTAGCTTACTCATATCCTGTATAACACGCTTTAATACAACATCATGAAACTTTTAATGTCTGATTCATATCCAGAGACCTATTTCTGCATGGCACTGCATATCATAGTTTTCGGGCATAAAATTTCTGAAAAGATATTCGGTACATTTGGCATAGGTGAGATAGAAATGTATCATAAGCTACTCAACACTGCTCGGCTGGAGCTTGAACCTTGGGAGAAGCACATTATTGAATGCGAAAGCAAGATTGGTGTCACCAGCGCGGCTAGCAAACTCCTAAAAGACAAAGTGAGTATATTCAAGTCAAAAGTTCTTCTAAACTGGCAAATTTATTCGAGCATAGCGGATAGGTGTGAATAGTCTTCGATTGAGTATGTCGCTACTCGAAGACTGCTCCGTTTTGTCACGTCTTGATTTTCCGGAATGATATGTCTGGTAATATATCCAACGGAATAAACCACACTATCTTGAGCACTTTGTGATTTTGAATCATGTGCATTATTTTTCAGCACGAGGCAGGGAGGAAAGCATATGACGCCGCTGTGGAAAAAATTCAAGAAACTAAACTTGAAATCAACAAGAAAGAGGATGATCTAGTTCGTCTTATGACCGAGCTTGCCCGCTTTCAAACAAGCTTAAACACCGCCAAAGAGGAAGAACAGGTGATAATTCAAGAGTTAAAGAAATTGTCATTATTATGTTCCTTTGTTCTGTCAGAATGTCTAGCCTCTCAGTATCGTATTTGGAAATCATGCTACTTGTTTCGCCATGTTGGGTTCACAATCCACAGTTTGCGATTGAAAGTTCATGAAAGGTAGTTTACCCGAGTCGTTGTGATCTGACAGGTAGCCAGCAAGGCTGAGGAGTCGTTACAAGCACAGGAGCAAGCACTCCAACAGAAAGTGGGGGAGATGCGTGCAGTAGTAGACACAGAAAAGAACCAGGGTTCAGTTGTGAAGGCCATTCTTCAAGCCAGAGAGTCAGGTCAAATACAAGGAATACACGGTCGACTTGGAGATTTAGGCGCAATCGACGGTAAGTAACATAACCTCTTGTTTGTAAATTTGATTCTTGTAAACCACATCAGTAGTGCTTTAATATGCTTAACATGTGTGCAGCAAAGTATGACGTCGCAATTTCCACCGCTTGTGGAGGATTGGATTTTATAGTCGTTGAGACTACGAACTCGGCTCAAGCTTGTGTGGAGCTGTTGAGAACCAAGCAGCTGGGTGTTGCCACCTTTCTCATTCTTGTGAGCTGGATACGAATTTAAACCTTATGCTTTTACTGGTTTCAGTTGTATTGATTTTATATGCACTAATGGATAAGGAAGTAACAACTTTCAGTTACACATTTCCTGATTATAAGTCTTAGATGGTGCAATAGAAGAAATCTCATTTTAGTATGGTGTGCTTGTATATTTTGGATCACGTGCTCATTCTTGGATTCGGAAGCCTTGTACCAACCCATAGTTGTATGACTACAGGACAAACAAAGTGGTCTCATTCAAAGGATGAATCAAGAAGTTGTTACTCCAGAGAATGTTCCTCGCTTGTTTGATTTGGTCACTGTCCGAGATGAACGCCTGCGTCTTGCCTTCTACTCGCAGCTTGGCAATACTGTGGTCGCCAAAAATCTCGATCAGGTTTGTTCTATAATATTGAAACAGCGGTAATGGCACACATTTGGTCTGCATTCGGGATCCCTAAAAAGGGATTTGATATGTACTCTGCTCGGCTTTATGTAATTATATGTTACTGTTTTTTACTCTATTATCAGGTATGCATGTAAGACGAGAGTGACCTCCCTATACCTGTTCGTGCGAAAAAGTACACACTCTGGGGGTTTCTAACGTTTATGTTGTTAAAATTAGGCTACAAGAATAGCTTATGGCCCAGCTGTCGAATTTCGAAGAGTGGTTTCTCTCGATGGAGCAGTTTTCGAAAAATCTGGAACAATGAGTGGAGGTGGTGGCAAGCCCAGGGGCGGTCGGATGGGAACTGCTATAAAGGATTCTACTGTGTCTCGTGAAAGTATGGCAAGTGCCGAGAAAGATCTTGAGGATGTAAGGGCAGAGCTATCGGCTACCCGCCAACGAGTTTCTGAGGCTGCACAACAACATCAGTCAGCTCTGAAGTCTGTGTCTCAGCTCGAATTGGATATTGCTAAGATCAAAATGGAGGTAAGCATGCTCATTAATATCATGCATAGTTCGGTTTACGTGCATCTGAGATGCATTTTTCTCTTTCTGAAAGTAGGATATGATGTAGTTTGCCTCTTTAATAACCTATTTGAATTTATACGCTGAGAATGACGTCTGTACTTGAGCAGCTGGAAGCCCTGAAAGGTCAACAGAGTGATATAAGCAAGCAACTCGAGGCTTTGAAGACTGATGCAGTGCCTAACAAGGAAGAGCTCGACGAGATCCAGACCCTTGATGAGGAGGTAGCTCAAGGAGAATCACTTCTTGCTGACCTGAATAAGAAGTCGAGTAAACTAAGAGCCAAGGTACAATTCTATTTAGCGCTTTTGGTTATCCTCTAGAGGTTGCCAAACTATGTGAATATCACTGAAAGCGTGAAAACCATCCTATATTGCAGTAACATTAGAGGGTTGTACGTGTGTTGAATTTTCCGCAGTCTCAAGACCTACAAAACAAAATGGAAAATGCTGGAGGAGATGAGTTGAAGCAAAAGAAAGCATTGGTCGGAAAACTTCAGACGGTACTGCAATTTATGCCACCTTCTCGTATTTTTCTCTTCTTACTCTGTTTTTTTTTTTTCATGTACTGAAGCCATTGTTTACCTTGTAGATTTGGAACTTTCTTTTATATCATTATCTTTTCTTTCCTTCGAATTTTGAACCGTATTTGTTGTTGTGTTGGTATGACAATCGTACATGGAGGTCTAGTTTTTGGATGATGAACTTGTATGATATGAAGATCGCATGGATTGTCGAAGAGGCCTTGTATCTGACATGATTGATCATGTGGTTCAGGATATCAACAAAACAAGTACTGAAATCAACAAGAGGCAGGTCCTAATATCGACTAGTAGTAAAACCATTGAGAAGCTCAGAAAATCAATCGAAGATAGCATCAAGGACAAAGAAAAGTTTATCCAAGATAAGGAGGCTATACAAGGCGAATTCAAGAACGTTGAAGCTAAGGCTTTTGTGATTCAAGAGAAGTTTACCCAACTGCAAGAGGTGTGTGTGGGATTTAGGGCTGTGCTTTTTGTGCTTTCTGCCACCAGCTTATGCGCCGGTGCATCTCTTCCCCTTGCGAACTCTTTACATCGTAAAAGTTCCCAGTTGGCATGCGAATCTGGTAAAGAGTATGAAAGCATCGTTTTCTTGGAAGATATTTCGCATGGATCATTTCCAGCCTAAGTCCAAGAAGTGTTTTCTGTCATGAATCTGAAGCAACTAAATAGGTGCATATTTTTCCAGGCTCTTTCCAAAGACACCGTGGAACTAGAAGTGATTAAGAAGAAGTATATGGAGCGCCAAAAGGTCATCAATGAATTGCGGGCAGTGGAGGTATGCAAGCTACATTTTGATATTTTAGCCCAGATTCGGAACACCATCGACGTTATACATTATATTGAATCTCAGAGTTTGATGGTTAGTCGCCTTGTCAGAAATTTCTTCATGTATCATTGTCTTATTGAAGCCTTGCATTTGGTTTTCTGAGTACAGTTAGATGCTGAGTTCAAGCTCAAGGACATCAAAGAAACAGCTCGATTGTGGGAAGGAAAGGCTGAGGCTCTCAAAAGGGAATACAAGGAGTTAAGCAAAAAGTTGCAGGATCAAATTGAACAGTCAGTTCCAATCCTTCCCTGTGCTTGCTTCATCTTCTAACCTTTTGTAAAATCCAATATGATGTAGAAACCGGACCCTGGTGAAATGGGGAGGTTTCAATAGCTTTGTATAAATGGGCGGTGCATTAATTAAGCTGATCACCATGCTTTGCCGTTTTATTTTATCCTTTTCACGCTCACTTGGGATGGAACAAGACAATGCCATAGGATTAAACCGATTTATCGATAACCGTAACCCTTGACGTTGGAGTGAAATGCTGATGCATTTGTTTACAATGCAGAGTACAAAAAGAAGGCATTGACCTGGCGCTTTTAGAAGTGTCTATCAAAGAGCCTTCTTCAGAGATCAGCCTAGCACGTGCTAAGGAAAGCGTCAAAGTACTTGAAGGAGAAATCAAGAACATGCAGCCAAGTTTGGATTCGATTGCAGAGTAAGTCCTCTCTAAGATATGGCGTGTCCCCCGTACGCGGACACAGCACTAGACACATTGTCTGGCTATCATATCAGAATCTCAGACTTCATTTAGAATTGTTGTAAGAGTGGTAGTTAATGACAGTTGCGTCGTTTATAATGACTCTAGGTACCGTCGAAAGGCCGCCATGTATGATGAAAGAATACGTGAGCTCAACCAGGTTTCCGAAGCTGCAGCTGAGATAAAAAAGAGTCACGACGACTTACGAAAGAGAAGGTTCGTCTTCAGTAAATGAGTCCTACTCACAATAGTCTTTGCTTCTTCTGTTCACTGAGTCGCTTTCGTTAGCTATACTAGACAATTTCAATCTCTATGCGTAATGGAGCAAACACAATTGATCTAATCACATTTAAATCTTTTAACTGAATTTCGCTTGAGACTTTCAATTGAAGGAAGCCTGTCCAGGTTAGCACCCCAAGACTGTTAGATCTAAAGAGCTTGATATTTCTTGTGTTGACCTACAACAGGTTAGACGAATTCATGGGAGGTTTCAATTCCATCTCGATGAAACTGAAGGAGATGTATCAGGTTCGTTTTATTTACAATCGAAGCAGTCTCACCATTATCATGTTAGTCGTAAATGTTTTAGTCGTGCATCTAACTATATTTAATTTATCTTGTACTTCAAGTTTTAAGTTCGCCACTCGTTGGAACTAATAGAAATCACGTTGGTGGTTAGAACTCGTTTCTTATAGCTAATCATGTATCCTTCTGTTTCTCTGAAGCTGCAGACATTCTGATTAGATCCAGTCTTTTCAAAGGTAAACTAACATAGACGTTCCTATGTTTTCATGATGTTTAATTGACGGAATTTGGTCATTTGAATTGCTCAGATGATAACTCTAGGAGGTGACGCAGAGCTTGAGCTCGTGGACTCCTTAGATCCATTTGCAGAGGGTGTTGTGTTCACTGTCAGGCCGCCGAAGAAAAGCTGGAAAGCCATAGCCAATTTGTCCGGAGGCGAAAAGGTTCAATTAGTTTCGATCATTTATGATTGTCTAAGACTTGTCCAATTATTCTCAGCAAATATGTGATGAGAACTATGGACTTATGTTGAATTGAGGGCATGATCATTTGCGAGCATGTAGGTACCCGCAAATTTGTGAATCCTTCAATCTCTGATACTCAATTATGTGAGTCTCTGCCTAGCATTGACGTGTCTGACGGTGAATGTTTTGGATGATACAGACCTTAAGCTCGTTAGCCCTTGTGTTCGCCCTTCATCATTACAAGCCAACTCCTCTTTATGTTATGGATGAGATCGACGCAGCTCTGGGTACGTTCACTTAACATGCTTTGAGTTTTCCCAACCATGTTTTTCCCCCTTCGAGACTATTGAATCTAATGCGTTTGTATTTTTAGGTCACTTTTATATGTCGATGCCAGAGAAGAAAGATTCAGTGACTTTGTTAAAAAATTGAGTTGATTTAAAATGCATTGATATTTCACTAAATACTCGGAGTTGGTTACTGCTTGCAGATTTCAAAAATGTGTCAATCGTAGGACATTATATTAAGGAGCGAACGAAAGATGCCCAATTTGTTATAATCAGGTTAGCTCTTCATGTCACCATAATTTTACTCTCTCTATCTGAATAATGGAGGAATTGAATAGAGTAGCATACAAAGCTTCTACGTAGGCAATTCAGACATTAATTATGTAAGTTAAATTACTCATGTTTCTGAAGTCTACATCAATTCACATCACTGGAAAAGTTCTGGCCTGGAATATCTAGAGTGGCAATATTATCAGTTTCCCAGAGTGGTTACTCTTGACTACGTTATCATGGGCGCTACCATACATGGAGACTACTCCCCGCTCCTGCCCTGTGTATCCGGACTTGGAGCTGCTTTTTTGTGATGCACTTTTGCACGGTCTATTGTAGAAAAATCTGGTAATAGTTCTAATCGATCAGTCACTGGGGATTGATTTTCAGCTTGCGAAACAACATGTTCGAGCTAGCGGATTACCTGATAGGTATCTACAAGACTGACAACTGCACTAAGAGCATTACGATCAACCCTCACAGTTTCTTGGTCCCAGTGACCTCTGGTAAGTCCGACACTTTGTTGGTTCCAACACATACGCTTCCATGTCTTTCTGAATCTTTACAGCGGTCCATATCACGTTATGTTATGTCTTTATGCTGCGATACTTCCGACTTGGGCTTCAATCATTATAGCTTATAGGATTGTTCAACAAGAGTCACTGTTGACCATAGCATACTGGACTGAACAACTTCGTACTTTGATAACTTGTTAAGTATATTCTGAGCTCATGCGTCGCTGTTTATCCGTCTCAAACTTCCAGGAAGTAAAATCATGTGTTGATTTTTGTCTCATGCTTACCCACCAGTGTGTCCACGTCATTACAAGTCCACACACATCCCTTATGTACTTACCTTGACGCTGCTGTTCTTGCTCAGATGAAAAACGAGAGACCCAATCACCCGAAAATTCAGCTGGAGAAGTAATGAGCCCCTGCTAGACCTTCCCCAATCATAGCGGGAAAACGTGTACGTTAGCGCATGTTTGTCCTTCTGACTAGGATCGTGTGTCACACCTTCGATTGCAAGGTTGGTCTTTGTATGGAGTTAAGAGTTAAAATAGTTAAGACCAACCTAGCTATGAGTGGTTGGAGTGAAATAGTTCAGCGTTGCGCTAGGGAATACTAATGTTTAGGATCTCCGTCTATGTCTTGTAGACATTCTAAATGTAATTTAGCAGTATATTGGAATGACAGCATCCTCTGGACATGAGAAAGTACTAATGTTTTCTAAACACTAGATGTAAATGGGAATATGTTCTTGTCTTAAGCAACCTAGTTCATTGATATGATGTGTGTATATTTGAGCGTAATGTAATTGAAGAATGATAGTTTTAGAGTAATGGACTTTGGTATTATCGATGTGAAAATATAATCAAGTTGTAAATATTTTATTTTTAGGAAATGAAGTATTTTCATTTCTAACGATTTGAAAGGATTAATATTGACTATGATTGTAGACATCCGGTTATATTCTTACGATGGTACATAATATTTGTATAGGATAGATAGTTTTTGTTTTGACTATGATGAAACATATATTTGAGGGTCATAAGTTAAAGAAAACATTCATGAAGCAGAATTTTGTTCTTACAGGTGCTAATGGGCACTTAAAAGGTTTTTGAGTAAGTGAGTTACATATAACTTTTCACTGGCAGTTGCTTCGAAAGCAAGTGAAAATGGAAGTGTAGATAATGTATGCAAATGGCCGTTTTTGATGCTGATAGCGTGTTTTAGAAAGACAGTTTAGATTCAAAGTAGAGGTAGGAATGGATGCCATCGAACGAGAATATTGTTTTGGTAGTTTGTATCCGTTGAAGTTTATTCAAGAGGGGATGAGTGTGTAACGGAGTACACATGATTCGAGCGTTTACTCATGTTTCTACCAGATTTTGGTAGTGTACATGGGATATAACTGGAAGTATAATTACCTCCTCTTCGGGTTGTTGGCCCAAGCAGTAATCGTGTGCAATGTACAACTAATTTAGAGACTTCGGCACTCCACGACGTTGGCGTATTCCTGTAGATGCCTCTTCTTCCTGAATCTCAGACTGGTAGTCAAGAATCTCTGATGCGTTTGATGAGGTGTTTGCCACAGGCTCAAAATTTGATGGCGGCTGCTTTCCAGCCTTGGCTTTCACATTAGCTCTCAGTTGCTGTCTTTTCTCCGCCATCTGTGCCCGGGTGATAAAAAGGATAGTCTCTACGAACATCCCGGCGATAAGACCAAATACCCCTCCCACTGCATGCTGCACAAATTCATCCAATGTTTAGATAGCCGTACCGATATCTTAGGAAAAAACTATTTCGGGATCCATGAGAGAAACAAGCGGATGAACTGCGAGAATTGGTAAGGATCAGAAACCCACCATTGGTGGTGATTCCGGAAACTGTGACCGAACAATTGCGTATCCAAACATGTAGCCTGTGAACATGATGAACAACACGTGTATCCCTGGAAAAATGAAATTAAGCAGTAAATTTCAAAGGAAAGACTCAACGTGCTTGGGGCATCCCGCACTTACATACAACACGTAGCAGCATGAGAATGACAGTAGGTGTGGAGATAATGTAAATTAAAATGGAAGACAGCGAGATGCAATTACCAAATCCAAGAGAATTTTTGTACGAGGAAAAGTACTCTCGATCATCATCGGCACTCTTAGTTACATCCTTCACAAGTTCTTTATAAGCATTTTTATCAGCGAGGTCTTGAAGCTTGGCAAGGCGATCTACCAGCTCCTTCGACTGCACACAGAATCAATAGGATTAGTCACAGGAACCAAAAGAGAAAATCCAATTACCAGTACTTGCATTTCGACATGAAAGACACAGATGATGACATGTACATTGGAAAAAGGACATGTAAAGAGCGACTAAGATACTCTTTAAATTGTCACTTTCTGCCATGAACCTGAGATGATTGCAGAGAGATGCCAGCAAGGATGAACCTTGTGTGAAACATGACAAACCAAAAGCGACACATCGATACATGACACTTACAGACATCAGGGACCGTCAGTTCATCGTTGTGTGTTGATTTCTCAACATGTGATGTCTCACATCAGCATTGCAGAACTTATCTTCATCATCGGAACCCTGATTCTACCCATTCCTTAACAGAACGGACTCGAATCGAGAGAATTTGCAACACAGCTTACGACAGTAGGAATTTCCAGTATGGATACCTTCTCTCGTGGCTTTGGACTCTCGAGCACAAATGAGCTGCCTGCAAGCACTTGGTGAAAGGGAACGCCGTATCCGGGAGTAAGTTGAGCCCATGTATCCCGGATAATTGGATATGGCACACTAGGGGCGTCCAAGTAAAGCAGAGCTGCATCTCGCAGATCTACTGATATCTTCTCGGAAGATGCAGCGTTGGAAAGCAGGGACTTGATATTGGGGCACGAGTGCAGCACAAGTCCAGTTGCTGTGCTGTAACCAAACAAACACGTTACGCGTACATAAAGTTGAACTTCATTCGCTGGAGAACTGAATAAACAAAGGACTGTGACTCACCCACAACAATCAAAAATCTACAGAACCAAACCACTCCAAATACGATGATTTCTAACCGACCTTCCGCTTTCCAAAGCAAAAAGTCGAGAATTTCCTTCAAAGCCCATCAGATTTGAATGTGTAGTTTTATCAACACTTGCAATAAATTACATCAGCATTGCAGAATTTTCCATCGTCCTCGGGCTATCTACTGCCTCAAAACCACTGGAACTGCTCTACCGAATCCATGAAATGAATGGTATATCGACGCTAAAAGGGAGCGAGCCCTACAGCAGGGGTAACCTCATCACACAAAAAAAGTTTTAACTTGGGCAATCTCATTAGAGTAAGTAAACAGATCAACAAACAGAGCCAAGGATCGGAGAATGGACCCCATTTTCAGTCACAACCCCGCCAACGACCTACATACAGATGAGCACGATCACATAGGTGATGAGTCCGGCTCGGCTCCAAGCTTAGTAACTGCTGGAACTACGACTCCGGCTTGGGCAGCTCGAGGACTTAAGAAAGAATAATTTAGGGTTAGGGTTTCGGCAGTTGGAAAAAGAGATCGTGAACTGCAAGCCAAGGGACTGAGCGGCAAACTGGGATTCTTCGCTTCTCATGCAAATCTACGAAAACCAAGTCCCAAAAGCACTGCTTCGCAAGAGCCTACAGCTTTCGAACCCCAGTACCTCGAACCCTAAAAAGAGGACTTTTGGGTCAAGACACCGTTCTTTTCTCACTTTTTCCCACTTACTACAGGAATATTTATATGGACCCAGGTCTTTCTTAGTCTATTTTAATTGAAGCATTTCTTTTTGGGTTAACAATGTCAGAGTAGGAGTTTGAACAAGGTCTCGTTTACAGAGTGGCTTGAATTGAGTCGACGTGAGATTTGAGCAGCTGTAATTGCTGAAGGTGACGAAAACTGTCTCCCTCAGTTTCGATTTAAAAAGAGCTCAAAATGAAAGGTCAATTTTACTTATGAATGTATTGTTATTAAATTTAAATGGGTTTTATGGGTAATAAAGATCCGAAGTAAGAGTGAATAAATCAATTGATACATTGTATGATATTGTATGAAAAAGTAATATGTTACGTACATTTGTCACACTGATTTTAAGAAATATGTAATGTGTGTGTGAGTTGAATTGACAAATTCATCATTATTCAATTTGCATTCACATGGTATACAACATGGTAGGTTGTAATTAATAAGGTTGGTTATTTGGAATTCATGTATTGTAAAATTTTAGAAGCATTTTTTTCATTTAAAAATATATAATTATAATGAAAAACATACACAGTGAAATAATGACATGCCTCAACTATATAAAATGCAGTATTGGAGTTAGAATATATTAGGAAATAGTATGGGTGGTTTATCAACATAAATTCTCCAAAATTGAATTGATTAAATTCCAAATTAAACCGTTATTTATGTCATGAAAACATTCATTATATTGTTTACACTCATGCTGGCAGTTTAACATCATGCTCTGAAAGGATGTTTCCATTTGAAGGTGTGTGTCAATTGGCACACAATTTTTGTAATTTTGAATCTTATATTTTATTTTCAACACTAAGCCAAATAACTTATTCAGTAAGTAATGTTTGAAAATAGAATGTTGATACTAATTACTTCACAATGTACAGCAAAAATTATCAAAAAATTTCAACTCAAAATCTAAAAAACTTAGTAAGTGATCCACAAATAAGAGTTTCCGAACATACAACAAAAAGCTGTTCTAATATTGAACTTTTTTGTATTTATCAACATTGCAGCATTTTCTTAAGTATGATATATAAGTTTTTTGTGCAAAATCTAAATGCACTAAAAAGAAAGGTGTGTAAATTACATAATTATTAAATTCCAATACATTTTTCAATCATGATGAACCCTACCAAGTCCTGTATGATATATCACTCCATGTTTCAATAAATCACCATGAGTGACAGAATAACATAATATCATATTGTCTTGAATGTTTGCAATAATAATAATAATAATAATAAACTGAACATTTATATATATATATATATATAGATAAACATTTATGTAATTTAAAACTAGCCGGGAAAAGACTATGATTTAATCACTTTAAATCATTACCAATATACATATGTTCACACTTTATTTTATTTTTTTATTTTTGAAGTAATAGAGAATTAACAATGAAATAACAAAGTATAATTTTTGTATAAAAAATAAAAAATAAAAAATGCACCAGAATAAAAATAAATCAATTTTCTTTCAAAGAATGGTTGCACAGAATTTAGCTTTTACTTTAAATTTTAAAATTTTAAAATATAAAATTAATAGTGAAAATACACAAAGAATTGGTCTTATTGATAGAATCCAATTGAAATGTAAAGTTTTGTCTTACTAAATGTAAATATTTTTGGTGATCATCAATAACTACATGACATTAATATTAAAATATAGTTGCTACAAACTATCTGACATCAATTTAGAATCAATGTAGATTTTTGGTGCACAAAAAATAATATTTTCACATCTTTCTTTGAGCATATTTAGTATTAAACATATTGTCAACTACATCACTATCATCAAATTTCATGATAAAGATCCATATTTCATTCAAACCAAATATTTATTTACAAACATGTTATTTACTTATTTACAAATGTAGTAATTATAATCTTGTTGATGTTAGATATTATTTTGAGTATTATAGAGTTAGTATTAGGATGTCAACTGTAATACAAATTATTCATCTTTAAATAACAAATCAAATCAAGGATATGAATTCATACAAACTCGTGAAAAAAAGAAAAAAGAAAAAAAAAGGTTATTTATATAAAATTAAGAAGTATATTCTAAAAAGTATGTAAGAACTTAAGTGGTTATTACTAAGTAAAAGAAACCAAAGAATCTAATGAAACTACAATAAAGAATTGAATTGTAAATAAATATACAACAATGATAAAACTAAATATGAACTTGAAATTATCCTTGTATATTCTAATTAATGAGAAGGTCATAAGTAGGCATATCTAATATAGGACATTATCTTATTTTTCCTATATAAGGTAAATTAAAAAAATATATTAAAAATGTTATGAAGGATATTATTAGAAATAATGGAATTTAAGCATAATAAGTCAAAATAGAGAAAAGTAAAGTTTTTTCTTCTCCTAGTAAAGATGTGCAATTGCTTTCTAAAAAACAATTAATATATGACAAATAGGACAACGTCCTACATTAGAAGGTCTTGGTCATGAGGAATTGTTCATGGACAAGTATCAAAGTTTTGAAGCCCATCTATATTAATCTTGGAGGTCTAAAAACAGCTTACAAATTTAATATTATAGCAATTTGGCAAGTGCAAAATCTAAGTACATTTTATCAAAATCTAAGTAGCTTCTATCATGGTTTTTTATTTTTTATAAATTTTCATAAATACCATTTAATTAATCTATCTATATTTACCTCTATTTATTTGTAATTGTTTTAACCTACTTATGTTTATTTAGATAGAACAAATGCATATGATTAATTAATTAAAATTGGTAAATTTAGTCTATGAAACCTGAGTTTTAAATTAGTATTTAGATTTCTATTATCTATCTTAGTCCAATTATAGTTTAAATGTAGTTATATAGATAATTGCTTTATGTATTTTGTTTTATACAAAATTAGTAAAGAATTACCATCTAATTTAAATTGGAATTACTAAAGCATTGTTTTTGTACTGATTGTTCTAAGAGAAATTACTTATAAGTTATACTTTCTTCTTCTTTGAATACAAATGTATATATTAGAACTTTAAATCAAACAATAGTGCTCAAGAAGAACAAACAAGAAATCAGTACATATCTACAAGGTTTTACGTACCTATTTAACAATTTTTTTTGTTTACGACTATATTTTATACAAAAATTTGTATTATAATTTGAATTTAAAAAATATAATATATATACATTAAAAAGACATATTAAATGAAATTTAACTCTGATTGCCTGTTGTTTACTTGCTAATTGAAAAGCTATTTCTATTTTACAAAAAATTATTTTTTAATAAAAATTCCGCATTTTAAAATATTCTAAAAACAGTATCAATGAATATTGTGTTATTTACACTCTCAAGGCATGAGAAGTTATTTTATTGATGATAAAACAATATTACCATCTACTCAAAAATGCCTCAGGAGAGACTATACCTGTTATCCTATTTATTCAAGTATTATGTGTTTAGTTTTAGTTAACTCATGTATAAATATATATATAAAATTCATTGCATTTCAATGAAAATTTTGGATTTTTTAGAATTAATATTTTAATTTGTCCATGGTTAAACAAACTTTTGACACCTAACCTAAAAAACACAATTCAAAATTAATCAGGGATTTGCTACATCAAATCCTCTCTATAGTCAGCCTACATGAATCAACCCAAAAGCACCATCAGTGACTTAACTACTTAAGAATTCTAACGCCCAATCACCCACAAATATGGATGAAACAAATTCATTTCAACGAATTAGCAGTAAAGCCACCCATGACCTGTTGAAGACTGGTCGAGCACGTGGGTAGAGAACCGGAAGCGGTTGTAACCACCGGGTTGTACAGATCCCGTCCTCAACCCTTACATCGAAAGGACTGGGACCACCGGGTCTTATGCATCCGGGCCTCATCCTAGAAACGGAAGGCGCTCGACATTGCTGCGGGAGCAGGAACTATTCTCCACCTTTCCTTTCGTCTGTCAATTGGAAATGGGCACGATTGTTGTTTTGTTTTTGTTTTTTCCAGCTGGTTCGCAATCGCAGTGCAGCGATCTCGCCTACAGCCGTTTAAGCGGTTGGCATGCGGCGTGGAGCGAGGGAGGCATCTTACTTGTAGTGGCCTTTCTGGAACGTTTTCGCGAGTCAAGGTGAGTTTGAACAGTGTTAGTCGTTGCTGGCAGTTGGAATTCCGGGGATGATTCAGCTATTTGCTAGAATTCGTAAATTTTTGGGAGCATGTGGCTGGAGTTTTGTACTGAGAACGACGGCAATGAAGATTAGTTTTGAGATAGGGGTGAAGTTATTAAGGTTCGGGTTTATGCCCTTATGACACTTGTGCTCTGAACTGGCGGACGAAATTTTTAGCTGCGTGGAGTGGATTGGTCTCGGTGTGCAGAATATTTGGATTGCTTAGTTAATTTGAAGATTGGCGCATGGTTTAGACGTGGATGTAATCCAATCGTGGTTTTAGAGTATTGTGTTACTTGTTTGGGCTTGGACTGTAACTCAGAGAATATGTCTATGTGATCAATTGATAGTTGTCCAAGGATAGAAATGGATAGGAGGCATTCGCTGTGTGATTCCCTTCAGTTTGGATAGGTCTAATTCTGTTATTGTTGTGTGTGTGTGTGTACAGTAGATGTATGAGATAGCGAGAACGCTGCAGATTCAGTTTTCAGTTATTAGATTTGGACTTAAACATATGAATCTGAAGCCTCTGTTCTGAAACCTAGTTCTGCTTACGTGCAATGGCTAACATACCAGTGGTCTGGTTACATGTTTCAGTCTGTTTGCATTTTGAGCTGTTTCCGAATCGTCTCAAGCTTTCTACTCTCTGCAGCATTAGAGAACCGAATTCGAGATCTTTGCATGTAAGCCAAAGTACAGACGTCCGCTCCTAATTTCTCTGGACATGGGTCAGGTGCATTATGTTAATGAATCTCATGGGATTGTAAATCGTACAAACATTCCCATGAATATTCTTAATTTTTTGCAACAGTAATCCATTGCTTTGGAACCACTAGTTAGTAAACCTTCATCGCTTCATAGGGTTTAGGTTTAGGGTCATGACCAGGTCTATGGTCCTCATCTTCAAATGATGCCTCGTCATGATCTTGATTTTGGTGAGGATATATAAAGTGAAGAAGTACGCCAAATATGTTGGTTCGATCTTTACACGATTGAGTTGGAAATGACCGTCAATGTGCATACTCATGGTGGCGTGAGTATGATAGTGCATGGATTTCTGGTTTTCACTTTTATGCTCTTTGAAGTGATTTTCATATCGCTGTTTGTTGCTGATTGAAATTCATTGCTCACAAGATATATGCTTATTTACGAACATCTTTGATATCTTTGAACAGAGCGGAGTTTGAGGTTGGAGAATTCTTTCCTGAATAATGGCGGGGTTGATAAAAGCATCCAGCATGATACAACCGGCATATTTGTCGCCGCACAGGAAGCGAAGAGAATCTTTCGCACTATTTCTCTGTAAAACTTGCACTTTAAAATGTGAAGTAGCCAGCCTAGGTTTGAATAGCATGGATAGGAATCGAAAAGGGAAATCATTAAGAATTTTACATAGTTGCTCAATTTTTACGACTCAGCTACGTCCGATGCCATTTGCAAGGGTAGAAGACTCGTCTATATCTTTGAATGTAGTAAGTACAGTTTCTCAGCTATCATCGAACTTAGAAGCGGTGCCTGCAGAATCTCTGGGTATATCAGCAGAGTCAACGGAGTCGACAGTTCCTCTTATAACGCACCCCTTACTGAATTTTCTGCTCGAGGCTTATTCGATCTCTCAGTCTCAAACCTTGCTGGCCGCAGTCATCCTAGCGGCCATCGTTGCTGTTGCGACTATCATAGTAAGATCTGACAATGAGAGTCACCTAGAACGTCTGGAGGATTCTTTGGTCATTGTGTCACACCCTTCTCAATTCCATCGTTGTGTGTCAATGCGTTGCCCTTCGATGTCATCACTTCGTTCCGCAAAGATTCTAGTACCTAAAAGAACATACATGAAGTATCAGAGGGTGTGCTTGCATGCGCCCGATGGGGGAGTAGTGGCAATTGATTGGCCGGTGGAGCTCGATTTCGATACATACGAGGACAACTTTGCCAATATTCTGCTGCTCGTTCCCGGTTAGTGACATGTAGCTTCAATTTTCTTTGAGCTCTCTTATTTCCCTTCTGTTTTTTATATCGAAATTTATAATTCTTCATTTTTTTAAAAAGAAAATTTCAATAAGAATGAGTGAAAAATCTGCAGTAAGGTAGCAGTATATGTCATGTTTTAAAATGTACTGTAATAATTGTTACACTGTATTTTTGTATGACGTTCATCTTTGTTAGCTATTGGCGTTTTGTATTGAGAAATGTCATAGTTTATCTGTGATCACTTATTGTCTGGAAGTTGTGCAGGAACGACGGAGGGAAGTGAAGATGAGGGAGTAAAGCAGTTTGTCAATGATGCCATGCACTATGGCTACTTTCCTGTGGTATTAAACCCACGAGGCTGTGCCAACTCTCCAGTGACGACTCCCAGGCACATTCTTTAACGCCTGTTCTCAGTTTTTATCTTTTGCCCTTGTTTTTCCTCTGTTTCCTTAGCACTAGGTTAATATGCCTTAAGCATTGCTTGCATTGTAATGGATTTGCGACAGACATTCATACCGCTCTCAAAGAGCAAGGCATGCCAAGTGTTAGACCTCTAATTCTCATTCTTTGCTGAAGGGAAAAATTTGACTGTTGGGTGGTTGGACTAGGGTGTTTTCAGGGGCAGACAGTGATGATGTTCGCTTGGTTGTTGAGCACATCGTTCGCCAGCGACCGGGGTCAACACTAATGGGTGTTGGCTGGGGCTGGGGTGCCAACATGTTGACTAAGTATCTGGGTGAAGAAGCAGGGTCCACTCCTTTAATGGCTGCTGTAGCCCTTTCCAATCCCTTCGATTTGCATCAGTCATCCATGCATTTAAGAATGACAAATAATGGACAATTCGATCGCATTATGGCTAAAGGCCTTGTGAGCATTCTTGAAGCGAATAAGGTACGAGTAGTTGGTTTTGACCTCTTACAGCTATGTATGTAGCAATTTAGAAGTTCACTGCTTGATACTCTGGGCTTTTTTGTGCGTAGGTGCTTTTTGTGGGACACAAGAAAGGTTTCGATTTGAGTACAGCTTTGGCGTCTACTTCAGTTCGCGAGTTCGATGCAACCATCTCAAGAGTGACTTACGGTTTTGATACTCTTGAAGAATTTTATTCTGCCGCTAGTTCTGCAAGATATGTCAACTCAGTGCAAGTCCCGCTTTTGTGTGTTCAGGCAAACACATAAACTTGTCTGCATCTATTGTGTCGGCACGTAAATTAGTTGGTCTGGCAAGGCTACTTTCATTTATGATGTAATCGTACCAGTAGAAAGTGAACCTCAAAATGTTCACATGGAGTATGAGTACTAATACGCTGGGGAGTAAGTACTTAGCCGTAATGATGAGGCCACTTTTGAACAGTTTCGCATGTATAGTGTTATATTGATTCATGATGATTATCAAGGTCATGCATACAAGTATCCAGACATATCATTGCTTAGCTTTGCACAGCTTTCCTAAGTTCTTGCCGATCGCAATAGTGCGCATGCACTTCGCGTATAGCTTGCAATTAAGACTAAGTCGACGTTACCCTATTACAATGTAGTTTGCTGCTTGTGAATATATTTTGGTTTGTTACTTTTATTTGCTGATACTTTGAGCTTACGAACCTTTTTGGGTTCCACTTCAAGGTTAATGTGGTTCTGAAGAGGTCTTACTTTGTTAATGTGTCTTACTTTGAGCAGGGAGAGGACTTTGCAATTCCAGCGACTTCCGTTCCTTACAGCATCCTTGAAGCAAATCCATTTACTACTGCCCTTGTGGCACAGATTCCCGCGAGTAACTCAACTTCTGCTAAGAGGGTTGTCAGAGAGCCCGGCAGTGCATCAGGACATGAATGGAGTCACACCGTTGCCTTTGAGGTGAGTTGGATTGATTATACATACCCACTCGGATTGGTTTCATTTATGACATACCCACACATCAGTAAGAAAAAAGAACTTTATATATATATATATATATATATATATATGCGTGCTCTCCAATGCACACAGTTTCGGAAATGGAAAAATTAGGTAACATCTGATGGATCTGTTGACTGGAACCAGTTGAGCTATTATTGTCGTATGTCAAATTTTGTCAATCCCATCTTTACTTAGAAGTGATTTGGTTTGAACCGCAGTGGCTAGCAGCAGTGGAAGTCGCGTTGCTGAAGGGGCAGCATCCACTTCTTAATTTAGTTAATCCTTATGATCCAGAAAGTAATACAAATGCAAGAGAGCAGCCGCCTGTGCTGAATAACGTGCCAATTCAAGTCAAAGACATACTTCCAAGTCTCGAAAACTCTAAGGTGGATAATTCCGTTGAAGGTGAGGTTTCGGTTACTTAAATTTGCTGTTTAATTGCTGAAATGCGTCATTCAAGTATGTAAGAGAAATATGTATAATGATAACAGGTAAGTAAATCCTTCGATTACAATTTCCATAGCGCAGCTGGTTCTAAACGTGCGCATATCTCATTTTGGTCGCTGTTTTCGAGAATCTTCATCAGAACCTGGTAAAGTTGCACTGTTTAACAACGGCACTCAAAACCTGGACACGGTAGTTGGGTTCTGTGATGGTGGAATCTTTGCCTATCACACTCATTTTTGAGTGATTATTTGTTGTTTCTGCAGCTTTGAAAGGTGACGACACATCTATGGATGAAAAGGATGATACTTTCATGCAAGAAGAGAGGGATTTGTTGGCTACGAAAGCTGAGGAAGCTGAAGGAAATGAAATGATAGAAGGAACGGATGGTTCTAAAACTTCGGAGAAACGTGATCTGAGGGCAGAGAGCTCCTCCTCTGAAACAGAGCGCAACTCTTTAGAAACGAATGGTACCCTGCAAGACCCAGATAATAATTCTTCAGAGCTCCAAGAGAACCCTCCAGAAGAAGACGTGGTTGAAGAAGTGGCTGAAGAAGTCCCTGATGTCATTCAAATGAAAGCAGCAGCTGAGAGTGTTATGAATGTGTTGGATATCACGATGCCTGGCACTCTATCAGATGAACAAAAAGCTCAGGTCGGAAATTCTTGAACTCAGATCCCTCATCATACAATGACAACCATAAGCCTTAAAAGTAGAATAAACAGTGTGTCGGTGCATGCTAATACAAATCTCGGATATACCCGTTTCAGGTCTTGAAAGCTGTAGGAGAAGGAGAGAGCATTCTGACAGCATTGCAGGAGGCCGTTCCCGAGGAAGTGCGAGGAAGTATGGCTGCGGCAGTATCAGGGGCCGTGCAAGCAAGAGGAATTAGTTTCAATTTGGTTGGATTTGGCAAGAAAATACCTCCTCCAACTCTTCCTACTGGATTAATTGACAGTATCAAGGGAAAGTTATCTTCGGTTTCTGGTGGGAAGGAAGAATCTGTCACCAATCCTCCACATTTGTCTGGTGACAGTTTGACCTCTGGGGGTCTTGAGAATATTCAAAGTGCACCTCCTGCATCACGTGAAAATGAAGATGGCGTAACCCCATCAAATCCAGTGGCAAATCCTAGTGAAGTGCAGAAAGCTGATAAGCAAGGTGAGTATGAGATAGCATGTCCTTTGGTAATTGTATATTGCATTTTCTATATTTACTTGCCTAGAACTCTGTGACTTTTGTGTGCATGCTGTCCTGTTGAAAGGTTGAATGGCTTAGGTCACATAGGAATCACAACGCTTCGTGTTATGAAACAAGGATTTGTTTTTTAGCAGTATCAAAAATCCTATCCACCTAGTTATCTAAATATGCGTGTTTGCGGTGGACAAGAATCTTATTCTCAGTATACATGTGCTATGATTGAGGGAAGAGATTTAATACATGAGAATGGGAATATAGATGTAGGTAGTGAACATGTTAAGCAAGAGGACAAGAATCAGTCCGGTGGTCCAAACGATTCTGGAGAGAATTCAGCCAAGGATACACCGAAGGATACACCGAAGGATGCACCGAAGGACACGCTGAAAGATCCAGCAAAGGATGCATCAAAGGATGCGCCGCAGGATTCAAAAGAGCCTAACTCGGAAGAACTCAAAGACAACACGGAAAGCAAGCCATTTGAAGGGAAGCGCGAATCTACTGGTGATAAACCAGAAGAAATCGAACAAACCGGAGACAGAAACCAGGATGTAGCGGAAGACGCTCCAGTTGGGGAGGCCGCTCGGAAAGAAGATAAGAAGGCAGAAGATACAGCACCTACTACTGGCAGCATGAATGCAAAAGAAGAGAAAAAACCTGTGGAGGAAACTACTCCTGAGTCTCCGGCTGCTGCCACCCCAACTCCACCTGCTCCAACCTCTGAGAATAGCGCTCCGCCTCCTCCTCCTGCTCCTACTTCTGAAACTAGCGCCCCATCTGTGCCCCCTATTTCTCCCTTGGACATGCGATTAGCATTTCAAGCCCTTACAGGATTTGATGATTCAACACAAATGGCCGTGACTAATGTTTTCGGTGTCGTCGAGAGCATGCTGGAGAAACTGGATCAGGAGCAGAAAGAAGCTGCAGAGGATGATGCAGCCAATATAAAGGAAGGTTCCGATGACCAAGACAGTAGCAAAGAATATGTTAAAGAGGAAGGGAGTAGTAAGATTAGTAACAACAATGAGAGAAGCAAGGAAGACGACAGTAAGGAAAACGGTGACGCAGGGAATGGGAAAGGTGAAGTCGACAGTAAGGAAAACTGTGGTACAGGGAATGGGAAGGAAGAAGTCGACAGCAAGGTCGCGGGTAGTTCACCTCTTTCTAAGCATATTGAGAAAGATGGAGCAACGAAGGCAGCAGCAGCAGCAGCTGCAGACAAAGACTCTAAGAAGATTATTTATGGCGGAGAAAATGGTTGCAACACTCGCCGAACTGATGAGATCATAGAGAAAGGAACTGCTGCAGACGTAGGTGTCAAGAATCAAGGGGAGGTCAATGAAGTAAGGGAGACCACAAACGTACCTGAGAAATCCAATCAAGTGATGGACATCAAGGAGAGCGCAATGAAACTGCTTTCTACCAAATTGCTGAATGGAGATTCCGTTCAAAAGCCACAGTCTAAAGTTTTGCTGATCCAAAAAGAAGGGAATTTCACTACTGTAGAGCGTCCGTTGAATGGTCGAACTCTTGAATCATCAACTGATGACTCACTCCCAAGTGTGAATGGTGTAGCCTCCAAACCCAAAGGCTTTTCCGTAGGACAGGAAGCTTTTGAAACTCAACAAAGAAAGTTGATGCAAGTAGAAGATTCTACTAAGCCAGTTATTAGTGGCATGACCATAGAGCAGTTGTCACAGGAAATCGACCAGGAAATCGGTAATGAAGACAACAGTTCTGGAGAAGATACAGTGCACGATGACGGGACCATCGAGGCAGAGGTGACGGGAATCAATGAAATGAAGGCTTCAAACCCAATTGAAGATATGTTGAAGGATGCTCTAAAGTTGGAATTACTGAGAAGGTTGGGAGTTGCAGGAATGGAATCTCTGGGAATCGATTTAGAGCAAGAGGTTGGCAAGGTAGCTAATTCAGTAGCTGTTGCAGTTCAAAGGTGGAAAAAGGGATCCAGTGCTGGTGGGTTAGATGCTGGAAAATCAGGAATTTTATCATCTGATACGGTAATTAGTGCTCTTGGCACCGTCATGGGAGGCACCCGCATTTTGGGCGGATTGGTTCCTATTGGAGTGCTAACGGGTGTTATTTTGGCTTCCCTAGGTGCAGTGTATTTAATCGTCACTGATAAGGACCAGGATAAAGAAGAGGATAATAAGAAAGTTGGTGGTGAAGGAGAAGAAGAAATAGCCAAAGAACCCGAAGAAGACCCATGTGCTAGTGATGCTGAATCTAACAACTCTTCATGGCATAAAGTAAAAGAATCTGCTGTGGATGTTCCAGTTCTAAGTATAAACCGCCGCAGTGAAAGCCCGATAAGTGGATTTTCTGAGTTGGAAGATCCTGAAGTGGAGGCAGCGGAAGCTGTAGATGGTGGTACATCCGATGAGGATGATCAATCTTCGGAATTGGAAGAATCATGTGATGTTGAGGAAGATAAAGCAGAAGGCAATAAGCGAAGCAAAGTTATGAATATGATGGCTGCAGCTGTCACCGGTGGCGCCACACTTGCCGGAATGAATATGTCGAACAAGGATGATCCAGGAGTGCAAAAAGATGGTCAACCCATTGAGGGTGTTAATAAGGATATGGAAAAGGAGCGTGTTAGAGCAGGTATCATTTCCAGCATCCATCCTTTGGCTGAGAAGGCATTATCAGTAGCAGCGCCAGTGGTTCCTCACAAGGAGGATGGGGAGATAGATCATGAGAGGTACGTGAGTAAAAATTGGGATTTACATTTATTCTATTGAACAAACTGGTAACTAGTTAGTGTGTATGCCATACATAGGAACACTTTTATATGGCGCCTACACAAGATTTTCCCCCAGGATGAAGATGGACTTATTTTAGTACCTTGAAACCTGTGGAAAATAATTTTCATGCAGGTTGGTGGCAATGTTAGCAGAACTTGGGCAGAGGGGTGGCTTCCTTCGACTTATTGGTAAAGTAGCGCTTCTATGGGGTGGTCTGCGGGGTGCTATGAGCCTTACTGATCGTCTTCTAGTCTTTTTACAAGTGAATCAACGTCCACTACATCTGAGGTGCTCCTAATCCTTTGCTCTACTCATTGCAAGACTTGCCTTCACTAGAAACAACAATTTGTCTTTACGCACAGAATGAGAGAAGCTAAGTTTGCGATATATTCAAGGAGCCAAGTTTTGTCAATTTTTATTTCTTGAATTGGTGTTGACGAGTTGCTTCTTGTGTCCCTTGTATAACAGGCTTGTTGGATTTGCTGCAATGGTTGTATTGTTGTGGTCTCCTGTATTGATACCCGTCTTGCCCTCATTGTTGCAACAATGGGCTACCAAAGCACCAGGCGGGGTCGCCGATGCTGCATCTGTGGTTGGTTTGTATGGGGCTATTCTCATTCTCGTTACAATCTGGGGGAAGCGAGTTCGTGGCTACAATAAGCCTCTTCTACGTTATGGTCTTCGTTTCTGGTCTAAGCGAAAGGTACATTCTTCAAGTTGCTTTTAAGATGTCATAATAGCGCTTGCACAACACTTTATTCTGTTATACCCAACTAACAGTTTGTTTATCCGCTGTCTAGGCTAAAGATTTAGGCTTGGGCTTAGCCTTGGGTGGTGGATTGGTCACATTCTTGTACAGCTCAAATTTCATCTTGGGCTACGTACAATTCAATTGGAATGTGCTGTTTGCTACAAATCCCAAACTTCCTGGTAAAAGTTACTGTAAACCTTCTTGTTCTGGCTACTACCCTCAATTTGTCTCAAGTAAGAATTTTTTGCTTCTGTTTGTATCCTGAAAAAGTATCTGGGGCCTTTGTGACAAGTAGGTACTGCAGGAGTCGCATTGTTTACATTCATCAAAATTAGTAAGCTTTTGGGACAAGCAGTCGGAGTTGGACTGGCGGTGGCGCTTGTAGAGGAAGTTCTTTTCAGAGCGTGGTTGCAAGAAGAGATTGCGGTTGATTTGGGGTTTCACAAAGCTGTGTTTTTATCCGCTGTTGCATTTGCACTAGTGCACTGGTGGGTGAAATTTTCATGCATTGGAAAATTTTCGTTTCTTATCATTATTTCTCTCTCTCACACACACATCATATATATATATATATTCGCTAATTACAAAATCGGTTTTGAACATGTTAGAGATACTGAGATGATTTTACATGTTGGCTGTGCAGGTCACCGCCGGCAATGCCAGGCCTTTGGTTTCTATCGGTGGCCTTAGCAGGTGCACGGGCGAAGATGAACCGCAACTTGGCATTTCCTATAGGACTCCACGCGGGCCTTGTATCAATCAACTATGTGTTAACTGTTGGAGGGATAGTGCAATATATGCACAATGCGCCCACCTGGTTCACAGGTGCACATGTTAGAAACCCGTTAGCTGGGGCCCTTGGCACAGCCATCATGGCCATGCTGGCGGTGATCATGTACCCACGCACTACTACTCATCCATTTATGCCCTCCCAGGAAGCTGAGCCCGCGGTGTAGTTCTTGTAACAATAGAGAAAGAGTTCTTACTAAAAAAATGTTCATATGATTTGTTCACCTCAGCTTCTTTGGTTTGGGAAGGATTTAAATGTAGCTTCTTGTTTTCGTCTAGTGAGTACAGTGTGTGTGTGCGAATGCCAGGCTTTGTTCATCGTTAACATTCATTAGTGAAGTTGCAACTGATGTTCTGCCAATCGAAGTGCTCAGAAATTTGTTATTGATCAGGTTAAAACTGCTCAACTTTCAGGGTAATATTTGTTCTACATTAAAAACAATAGCCTTGTGTTTGTTGTGGCAGACCAGTTGTATTTTCTTGAGTACTAATCAATTTGTCTTTATACTTATGACAGAAGGTGAGAGGTGATAACTTTTAAATTCTTTGATTGGTAGAAATTCAAAAATTAAGTTAGTTTTATATTTAGGAAACTTAGCCCAAAAGTTATAAAAGAAAAAGAAAATCAATATAATTTTTTCTTATGTGACATGAATAGTCTGTTTCCTGAAATTTGTTGATCTAATTCAAGAGCTGGTTTTTACTAAAATTTAAAAAGTTGTGTAAGAAATTGCTTAAGATAACTATTAAAAGGATACAAACTCAAATTTTAATTGTTATTTGAAGTAATTTCTTACTCAATTGGAATTCGAATTTTCATCTTTTTAATGGTTGATTTTTTAGTGGTTAATTTTTATTTATTGTTATAATTATTATTTTTGCCATAATTGTTAGAATCCAGATACGAACTAATATACTAATACTTATAATAATAAATATTTTTGGTTCATCTTATGGCATCTTTTTCTTCTATAAAGTGTCCAAATGCCAAGTACTTCAAAAGACAGTTTCTTTATTTTTATTTTTATTTTTAATACTAGCAGAAGTAATTTGTAAGACTTTTGTACCATGTTTTTTTAAAGTAGGCTTCTGAGCATAAAGGCCCCTTTAGTGCATACAACTAATTTTTCTAAAAATATAATTTGTTTGTTAGTAAGATTGAATATAAAATTTAATTTGTTTGTTAGTAAGATTGAATATAAAATTTAATTTGTTTGTTAGTGAGATTGAACTACTCAATTGATATAAAAATTTTCTTACACATTTATAAAAAGCACACTAAACAACTAACAAATTTTCACATATAAGTATATTGCAACAATCACAAAATCATCAAATTTATAAACTTCTTTTTATTTCATAAAATCCAAACTATAGAATACATCTCTCACTTTGAAAAGCTCTCAAAACCTCATTATACCTTCAAATCACATGAAATCAACTTTCAAAAATCTTGTCACAAGTTTTCTTCCAAATCCCATTTTTCAATTGAGCTAAAAACTCTAGAGTCATTGTAGGTATATGGTTTTGTTCCTTAAGATCTAATTTTGACCTTGATTCATAATTGGTCCTCTTCAGATATCAATTCTTAGTAATTTAAGGTAATTTTTTTAAAAGCCATTTTAAACTTCTTTCTAAAGATGCCTATATTAATTACATATCTTATTTATTTTAATTTGGCTCATTTATGTTCCTATAAAGTAAATATAAGTTTCTTCTATAAGAAGGTAATATTAGCTCTTATTAATTTTACTACCTCTTTGTCTATTATCTATATTTTTAAGATAATTTGTTATTTATTTATTTATTTTTTAATTTAAGCTCTTCTATAATAAAAAAATTCCCTCTCTGCTTTCTCCTAATGGCTGTATTACTATACAACATTGGAGTAGGTTCAAGTTGTTGCTCGAGCTCTCCTTCTCCATCTTATATATTTAATCAATTTTTGTCCTCTACGATCATCAGCACTTCATCTTCTTCTTGATGTCATTGTTTTCTTTTCTCTTATGACAAATTCTTCACCTCACCGTTCTGCCACAACTTCTATGATTGCCAAAATTATTTTATATATATATATATATATATATTATGTATCCCACCCAAAAATAAAGGAATTATATGCCAAGCTTTACAAATAAATTCTTATCTATTTGAAGCCTAGCAAATCAAAACAATATTTTTATCTTCTATCTTTGCTAATTTTTTCAAGTTTGTTCTTTTGGATATATTTTTGCTAGATAATAGATAGGAAAAGTGAGAATCTTATTAATCCATTCATGTGTGCCACTAATTAGATGACAAGACATTTGGCTACCTTATAAGAATCATAATTACTTATATTGTTTATTTATGCTTGGTCATTTTTTTTTTTTTTTTTATTTTGAAATTTAGAATATTAAACAAAAATCATATTATATCAATATCCATAGAGACCATTGCAATGCTTTGCATAGATTGGATGTATGATAAGAAAGATTGTGTATTATTTGTAATGCTTTATATAGATTGGTAGTAGCTTGATTTGTGATATGAGTGGATATTCTTTCTTATAAATCGGCAAGTTGTTGATGAACTACACAATCATGTGATAGATTGTATCAAAAACTAGTATTATTCTACTAAGGCTATAATGGTAAGATTATCCTTTATTCAAGCTTGCCAAATAAAAAATGTATATAATAATTGATCAAAAAAAGGACTAATTGGTTCTAAAGTAATGAGCCATGTAACCACCACAATCTTGATAGTTGCTAAAATCAGCAATAAATGAGCCTCTTCAGAAAACTTGTGTGAAGTTTTGAAGAATCAAAAGTTGGTCTTGACATACCAAATAATATATCAAAGTCGTACTTGTCAAGGGCATACTTCTTTGAATGATCAATTTATTATTTATTCTTGAGATGAAAATTTGTTTGAGCTTGTGATGATGGATGAATATTCAATAGAGAGTATACTATAGTACTTATGCTTTGCAAATATATGATTGCTTGGATAGTGAAAGTAAATCTGTTTGCTTTGGTATTTCTTTTCCTTAATCCTCAACTTGACAAAAACATTGGAAATTTTAAGATGCCATGGTCAAAAAAATAGATTCTCAAGAAATCAAAAATAAAATAAAATAAAATAAAATAAAATTCAGTAGTATTAAATACTTAGATTTATCTTGTCCATACTTGTTTTAAGTCGATTGTTTATTATCTAGAAAAAGAGGCAAGGTGGAGGTTGAATTCTACCTCAATGTTTTAAGTCTATTTCATTGTTGGCATGCAAGAGTCTACCTTCATTACAAGAACAACTTGGATAGATTTCCAACAACCTATGGGATTAAGGCAAAGTCTTCTAGGTTTAATCTCAAGAGCCAATGTTTTTTCCAAAGTTACAAATCTATTTTGCTAACTTCTCTTACCAACATTTTTCTATTAACCCGAGGTTGTTTACCTTGGAGATTTAATGTGATTATAAGTACAATTGAGTATAATAAAAAATTATACTTTTTGATTTTCAAGGGCCATTGAGAGTACACCTAACACTACAAGATTTAGACAACTTGGACATGCTTTATAATTTGAATAAGAAGATCTTTTAAGTTATTCTATATAATTTATAAAATTTGTGATTTTATTATTGATGGCGATGATTTATATCTACTAATCATGACTTTATAAACATTAGTTGCTTCATCTAGTCAATTAAGTTCTTTTAGGATTAATTTTCTAGTAATAAAAGCATGTACTTGCTTTAAGCATATTTAGAAGATTTCCATTTTATGAAACTTGAAATGATTCTTGACAAAATTCTTAAAAAATATACAAAGAGTATGTAATATTTTGTTATAAAAAATTATCTTTAACTTCTAGGAAAATTTTGAGACTAGTTTATGGAAATCTTTGCAATAATATATTTTCCTTCAATAAAAAAAAATGAAAAAAAACTTACTTAAAATATACTTAATATTGATAGAGTAATTTCTATGCATGGGTTCATACCTTATTTAATTTTTAAGTTGCCTTCATTTGAAAGCAAGAGATATATTTCTTGATTTTGGTATTGTCTATGTTCTTTTACACAATACTCTATATGGCTGGTGATAACCAATTGGAACAATGTGCTATACCATGGGACAAAGATAAAGAGTGTGTTGCAAGAACCATACTTAATAGGAATTTTTTGAACATGAATCATATTTCAAAATGACCAATCAACTTATTATGGGTATTATTTTGAGTAGTAGTAATGGATTAATAAAAGCCATTTGTTATGATGCAATCAAAAACCATTATGAAACATCTATTATCAAGTCCAATCAAACAAGATATACTATGAAGTATTACAATAATACTTGCAAATAGAAACTACATGCATCACCATTTCAATTGATAAATACAAGCAAATTTGTCATTTGGATATTTATCTTTGAATATACATATATTGGTGTTGAAGACTTGATCAACCAACATGCTATTGCTAATTGAGTAGCAAGCAACATAATGAATAAGTTGAACAGTATACTATGATATAGAATTGTAGATATCTAAAAAGATATTCAATGTGATAAAGGCACTACAATATTTTACCTGATGGCATGGCGTAGAAGAAAAAGAAACTATTTTTGTACTAATTAGATATCTATAATTATCTATAATTTTATTTATTTATTTATTTTATTCAATTAAATAATCAAAAATATTTTAAGATTCTAATGTAAAATTCTATTAAATATTTTATAGATTTTATATTAAAGAAGGTAGGAAGAAGGAATAAGAGTAAGTTTCAAAAAGAAGCTATCTTATCATGATTAATTTGGCAAAAAATAATGATAATTGAATAGAAAGGAAAAAAAATCTGTTACTTCTACAAATTGTTCTTTTTTTATGCATTGAATATTAGAAATAACTTTATATTGATTTTAAAAAATATTCTTAAACAAAGCATATAAAGATTTAGATAATATTATTAATATATATATTAGGTACAAATTTGGGATGTCTAGAGCCTTTCAAAGAATTCAATTAGTAACAAGGAATTTTGCTTCTAAATTATTCTTTAGATTCAATTATTTTTGTAAAATTTAAATTCTTTTTTATGAATTTTATTTATAAATTATATAAATTTAATATAATGTCTTTATTATTAAAGATGTGGTTGAAAAGACTCACACATCATAAAAATAATGTAAAAGAATTTAGTAGAATATAAAAAATTAATGTGGAAAGATAATCATGACAAGATAGATAAATAATTTGATAATAATGGTACTTTAATTTGAGGTTGGAATAAATTATAAATGGTTAAAAGCATGTTGAGTTAGAGAATAAAAACAAAAATTTATGAAAAGTCTAGAATTCTTTCAAATTGCATAATTGTACATGAAGATATAGAAAATTTAATATCATGTCATTTTACATGGTTATCTTAGTATAAAGTTTTAATTCACTTTCTTGTTTTTTTGTATAGTCTTATGCATAGAATGTAATAACATAAGATATATTTTAACTTCCAATAATATTAATCTAAAATATTATATATACTTCATTATACATACATACACACACACACACACACACACACATATAGATATATATATATATATATATATATATATATATATATATAAACTGCTAAAACATATTTGAAAGAGTTTCAAACAATGATTTATACATAATGTATTGTTAAGATTTGTTCAATGCTGAAAAACATAATAACATACAATATTTGAAATTTGCACTTCTACATATAAATAATTTGCTAGAGAATAAAGAAAGATGTCAAAATATTATTGTAGAGCTATTCTTATTGTTATTAAGTAATTGTACATATTCTACTACCTATTGTCTAATTAGTGGATTTAAAAAAATTATTTACAAGCTATGTCAATGTGCTCAACAAAGAAGACTTGAATATGAGAAGAAATACTATCACTTGCACAGTCAATTGTGAGGTTTAAAAAAAATTGTGTAAACATTTTGTAAGAAAAAAAAGAGGTTAAATGTGAGCCAAGATACTCCTGATACTTATAAGAGTGCTGCAATGAGGTGGCAACAGAGAGACAAGGAGAACCACCTTCTTCATCCTAAAGTTCACATTGTATAGAGGTACCATGTAGAGTGAGGAAAATTAGAACCCAAAGATGAATCCCAAATGCTTCTAAAAAGAATTTGGCAATCCATCTTCCTTAAGGTCTAAAATTGTAGTTTAAATTAAATTTAAAAATATCAAAATTCACCTACAAAGTGACTAATTTCACTAGGAGATGACTTCTAAATATTGGCAACAAAAGATTGTGCCACAATGTAGAGTTTTGACGTGGCATAGAACCACGATGTAATTGGATTTTAGATTGGATTCCAAATTAGTTCTGTTTTGTTTTAGAACAATGTAAGAATTTGGTGGTGCAATTATAGAATTATTTTAAGATTGTTTTTAAAACAAGTAATGTTATTTTATTGGATTTTTTTAGAAGTAAAAAAGATCTCAAAGTGAAGAAATATTATTTATGACATCAGAGCTTATAAAATTGGAATTGAGAGTGAAGACTTGAAGGAAAATTTTGACAAGAAATTTTGGCTAAGACAAGAAGAATTATTCAAGATGGTGAAAAAAACTATAAGACCAAATTTCTAATGATTAAAAAAAAAAAAAAAAAAAAAAAAACCTTGAGACCAATGTACAAAAGATGCAAGTGAGTTAAGAGATGAAACCAAAAAGAAGATTGGTGAAAAAAACCCCTTGCTTAAAGAAGAGCCTTCTCTTACTCTAGAAATAGATAATAAAGAGGAGGCCTAAAAAGAGTAAGAAGAATACGTAGAGAATTTATAAGAACCTCTAGATTCTCAAAATGAAAAAAAAAAAAAAAAGTAAAAGAGAGAGTAGAAATCCAAAGTCTCAAAAGAAAACTACTTCTAAAACTTCTAGGCACTCAATATAAGGATCAAGAGTGGAAAAAAAAATATTGTGTCTTTTGATTAAGTTGAAAAATTATAAAGAAGCTTATGGAAGAAAAAGAAAAAGAAAGTTTGAGAAGAAGTTGGAAGTGAACTAACTTCTAATAGACTCTTTGATGAAGGAGAATGTAAAGAAAGAAGCTTTTATTTAAAGGCCAAAAGAACAAATCAAACTCTCATAGAGCCAAAATATAATGACTTAAGAAGTGGAGGGACATAGAGCATAAAAAACCACAAGGAAGTTGAGCATTGGTATTTGGCCGATGACATTGAAAGTGATATGAATAAAGAGAAAAAAATTCACTCCTCAAGTAAATTAGAAAATTCCAAAATCAACTTGCTTATAATCAATTGGATTATTTATTTATTTATTTATTTATTTTTTTCTTATAATGGATTGAGTGTAGCAACAAGAATAAGGTATTAGAAGAAAGAAATAATTTCAACCAACATCAATGATGCGTTTGCTTTGGCTTCTCAATTAGAGTTGAAAGAATAAGGATTTGGCTATAGTGAGTAAAGCACTATAACTAAAACTTGGAAATCAAAAAATAATTTCCAAGGAGGAGCTAAGCCCTTCCATAGCAATAAATAGCTCTCATTTCCAAAAAGAAGGTTTAAAGAAAGTAATCCTCAATCTTCTAAGCCCAAGACTAAAAAAAGTCAAGGAAATAATACTAAAAAAGTAAAGACAAGTTCACCTAATGAGACTTATTTTAAGTATCAATAAAAGAAATACTATGCTAATGATTGCAAGAATGAAGAAGCATCTAAAAAATTAATTAAAAACTTTAATACTTCTTTGTTAGTTAAGACTCATGAAGTAAAGCAACTTCAAGTCATGAGTCTTAGTAAGAGAAGTTTGGTAAGAAAAGAGGGTTTTGAAGGAAAACTTGCTTTAATAAGCTTTTATAAGATATCCATCTATTTAAGTCTTAAGATTGAAAGTATCGAAGTTTCCATATTGATTGACATAAAGACAACCAACTCATTTATGAGCCCAACTTCTACTAAGAAGTTAAAATTGATTCAATAACAAATCAAGGACATGAAGGTATCTTTTATCCAAGGTAGAGAGATAACCAACTTGGTTATAAAAGATTTAAAGTTTAAATGTGGAAATATAAGGTTTCAAGAAGATTTCACATTGTGTAACCTTAATGGAGTAGATGTAGTCATAGGGAATACTATTTTGAATTTCTATCAAATAGAAGTCTGATAGAAGCTCAAAGTAAGAGTAGTTATGGTTGAAAAGAATCGAAAAGTAGTAGACTTATTATTCACAAATCTTCTTATCTTATATCAATCTAGGATCTCTATAGTTTTTCAAAGTGAGTTAGAAGGAAAACAATTTTTCTTATACTTGAAAAGTAGTGACTTTGACTTTGAATGTAAAAATAATTTCTCTTATAATAAAAGACAGTTGTTGAAGACAACTCTACACTTTGAAAAACTTCTCAAAAATCTTATGATGGAATTTAGACATGTATTAATAAATAAAATTCTAAAAAAGTTGTTACCTAATAGATTAGTGGATCATAAGTTAGAATTAGTTCTAGGTATACAACCACCAAGTAAAGCACCTTATAGATTAAACCAAGTAGAATTAAGTGAATTCAAAAAGCAACTTAGTGATTTGCTTAAAAAAATGTATATTAGGCAAAAAAATCTCCATTTAGTGCTCCAGTCTTTTTTGTGAGCAAAAAGGATGGCAAAATGAGGATGTGAATTGACTATTGGCTCTTAAATAGGATCACCATAAAAAAAAAACTACCCACTTTCTAGAATTGATGACTTATTGGATAGATTGAGTATTAGTAAGTGTTTTAGTAAGATTGATCTTAAGAATAATTTCTGTCATATAAGGATTTTCTAAGAAGCCATAAAAAAGATTACTTGTAGAACCATGTATGGTTCCTATGAATTTGTAGTTATGCCTTTTGAATTGTGAAATGCTTCTGCTACCTTCATTACATTAATGAATTCTATCTTTCGTAAAAAAAAGTGATGAATTTATAGTAGTTTATATTGATGACATTTTGATCTTTTCCAAGAATGAAGAAGAATACAAGCTACATTTGAAAGTAGTCTTGAACAAACTAAGGGACAACCAACTCTATGCCAATATGGAAAAAATTGTTTTCTTCTTGGAAGAGTTGATATTCTTAAGACATATTAACAATGGAGATGGACTAATGCTAGATCCAAAGAAGATAGAAGCAATAAAAAACTACAAGATACCAAAAACTTAAAAAGGAGTGGAGTCTTTTTTGGAACTAGCAAATTATTATAGGAAGTTTATAAAAAACTTTTCAAAGATTACTAGCTCTTTCACAAGTTTCTTGAAGAAGGATAATAAAACCTTGAAGTAGGTTTTGGAATGTGAAAAATCCTTTTTAGAGATAAAAGATGCTTTAGTATCTTGCTCTATCTCAATTTTAATATAGAATTTGAAGTCCATATATATGCAAGTGACTTTGAAATTGAAGGAGTCCAATACAAGAAGGAAGACCTATGGCTTTTGAAAGTAAGAGGTTGAGTAGAAGCCAATTGAGATGGCCAATATGTGAAAAGAAATTGTTTGCAATAGTATATTGCTTGAGAGCTTGGAGACACTACTAAAGAAGTAAGAAAACCGAAATATATATTGATAACATTTTCTTAAGTACTTTACTTCAAAAGCCCAAGCATCTTCCAAAGAATTGTAGTGTGAGAAAACCGAAATATATATTGATAACATTTTCTTAAGTACTTTACTTCAAAAGCCCAAGCATCTTCCAAAGAATTGAAGTAGTGTGATATGATAGGAGGTGACCTCCAAGTGTTAGCAACAAAAGGCAATGTTGCAATGCATCCCAACATAGAGTTGCAACACAGCATAGAGCTACAATGCAGTTGGATTCCAAATTAATTCTATTTTATTTCTAAACAAAATGAGAACTTGGTGGTGCAATTTTGGGATTGTTTTTTAAGTCAAGTAATGTTGTTTTATTGGGTGTTTCCATTCACACCTAATATAATTAGAAATCACATCATGAACTACCAAATCGCCTACAAGAATGTTGCCAAGAACGGTTTTCAACCAGATACGTCATTGATTGCATGTCACGGAATACAAGTAGTAAAACTTGCGTTTGAATGTTTTGATGATCTAGTAACTGCTTCCTCGCACCACCTAGGCGATGGACAAATAGATCAAAGCGGCAACTTTGTCAAGAGGTGACACACCTGACAACCTCCGACAACTGGGCACAAAAAGATCATGTGCTGTACCCTTCAGACTCATTAATTGGAGTTCTGTTTACAATTCCAATGCGAAGCTTCTGAAAGAGCGGTGTTAGGACGTGGTGCTTTACACACGATGACCTGGCAAGTCTGAAAGTGACAGTGTTCCTGAATGCTCTTGCCTGCTGTGCTCGCTTGAAAGGAAGGGCTGTGAAGTGCCCGAAAATAAACAGAAATATTACATGTAATAACTTAAAGTGGTCCTTTTGCGCGTTCCACCCTCTCCATATTGCTCGTTCCATTGCTGAAGCTCCATCATGCTCCCAGCATCTGAAGCTACACTAGACCTTACCTGCAAAGACAGAAGATACAGACCAATAATGAAATCAAATATGCCCAACCTGGAAAATACTGTAGATTGCACAAAAGCAACTAGGACATAGATTACGCAGATTGCAGTGAAAGTCCATACTGATGTAGTCATACATGTTAGCATTCAATTCCAAAGATCACACATACCTTCTCCATAGCCTGACGCATGTCAGCCATGGTCAAGGGACGAATGTAAGGAGTGACTCCAGCTTCAACTTGAGGAGGATCAACGCCTGTTGCCTTGGCTCTCTCTTTATCCTGGTCACAATTCATAGGAAAACGTCAGAATGAAAAGCCATACATAAAAGACTCCCAAATATAAAACAAAATACCAGGACTCTGTATCACGTTGTAAAGCACTGGCCATTTGCACAAACAAATTGAGAACAACGCCTTGCCATCACCTCTAAATTGATTGTGGCACTGAAGAACTCACCTTCTTTTCTTGATCTAGTAATTCCCGTATCCTCCTGTATGCAGCAGTTGTACATAAACTCTGTACCAAAAATAAATTAGTTATTAGCACATCAACCCCTACGGAATAGTCTGCACAGACCATTATTCCTCGGCTCTCAAAATAGAAATCCTACGGCTTACATGAGCTTAGGGATTTCATCAACCTACTAATTATCTCCTGTGGAAGCATGTAAATGTCCTGCGAATGATTGGATTACACCAATGATAGGAAAAGCACTTGACTGATACGTCTGTATTCTGTTGAGATTGAAGAAAATACCTTCAAGTCACTGCCTGAGTATCCGTCAGTAGCAGCAGCCAACTCCTCTACACAGAAATCTGGTGCCAAATCTTCCTCTGCCAAGATAACCTTCATAATTTTGGCGCGTTGATCTGCATCTGGCAAATCTATCATTAACCTGCAAATGAAACAAAATTCAGATTCATCTAAGAGAAAAAAATCAAATACCATGTCTTCAAATGCAAGAGATACCAGTATAAAACGGGTACAACACAAATCATAAAACTCATTAAGTGATTCAGAAATAGCATTGTTTGTCCTCATGCACAAAAATCAGTGATATGCTACGTGGTCTACACCAAAGTTTTTTAGTAAAAATTGACACGTTAAGATGGCTAAAGTACGTGTCGGCACAGCGAACATTCCATATGTCAGAAGTGTAAATTATTAGAAATGAAGTGCGTGAGCATGATAATGTTAACACATGAAAAGAGGTTAAAGCCCAGCCTATTTAACAGAATATATGGTTTGATCAAGGCCACTTAACCATCAGCTTAAAACCAACAGCAACAGACAAGATAGTGACAAACTACATTGCGTCTCTCTCCAGCAGTACGAAGAAAAGCCTCTTGTGAAGATCACTTTCATATCATTTCCTCGTATCTCAATGAATAGTTACCGAGCAAATACCTGCGAGGAAACCTCCGGATAACAGCTTCATCAAGGTCAAATGGTCGATTGGTCGCTGCTAAAACGAGCACGCGCTCCCTTTCTCTGGTACGCAAACCATCCCAGCTAGCCATAAACTCGTTCTTCAACTTACGCATAGCCGAGTGTTCAGTATCTTTCCCACGCCGCCCAAGCATACTGTCCACCTACCCACATTAAGATGTTGAAATTAGCCGTCTTAAAAGCACATTGATTTTATACTACATTCACATATATGAAATAGTAACATAAATTAACCGGATAATTACAACTCATTAGATGGCTCCATCAGAACGACGATTACTCCAGCAACTTGGGACTTGGTTAGGAAGGCCAATGAAATTCAAATACACGGCAAACTCATATGATTCATAAATGCATACGAATTCCACGACTTCTACACAGCCATACCTCATCAATAAAAATTACACTAGGTGAAATCTTGCTAGCCAATGTAAAAACTGCTTTCACATACTTCTCAGCTTCTCCGAACCACTGCACGTAGAAATAGTTTTATCAGCAACATGCAGGAAGGTAAATCATAAAATTCTGTGGACGCAGGTAGAGACCACAAATGGGTTAAGAATCACAATCCATGCAAAGACTGATACTATGATACATGTGGAGCAACTGAAAATGTCTACATATATTATAATTTCATGAGTTGAACATTGACTACTCTTCAACATCGTAGCAACTTTCGAAAAAACCAAAAAGCACCTTGGAAGCAATGGTAGACATGGAAATGTTTATGAAGTTAGCCCCTGCTTCAGTTGCAACAGCCTTAGCTAACATAGTCTTCCCTGTACCTGGTGGTCCAAATAGCAAAAGGCCTCTGCATGGCTGCACAAACAGAGAAGAGATGTGCATTCAAAATAATAATAATATTAATACGCATCATAATCGTCAAAATAAATAAACGAATAAAAATCATCCAATAGCCTTCAACCAAGGTTCCACTATGTAAAAATTGACCAAAAAAGAATGGAGATGACCATGGTGGTGAAAGTAATCGATATTGTTCAGACATAGTTCTGAAAATTTAGCATTCAGGCTCAGAAGTAGTGTTATGCTCGTATCTGACGGAATTATTGTGCTTAAACAGCAGAATCTTACCTTCGTCAACTGGCCTTTGACAAAAAGCTCCGGGCGCTGCAACGGAAGCATTACCAACTCACGCAAGGTTTCTTTCACATTGTCCAGGGCACCAATATGATCGAATGTTACTCCAAGCTCATCAGGAGGGATGACTTCCGGCAAGAGCATCTTCTCAAACTCATTGTCAGTGACAACATCCTGATCCACATCCCAACGTCAATCCTACTTCTCTATACCTCAGGCGCAAAATGGTTGACCATATGATATCTCTCATCAGTATAAAGCAAGAGACACAACTTCAGATTGGAGAAAACAAAACCAGACACAGATACTACTACAGATTATTCAGTAAAGGAAAGGCCGAGCGGACTAAGCAGCAAACAATAAGCATTTTAAATTACACAGGTACTAAGAAGCTCACCATAACCTACAACACAGAAATATTAAAACTAACACATTTAAAGTGACATACCTTTAGACTCTTCTTCCGAGCAGGACTCCGCTGCACGGACTGCAGTTCTGTTAAGCTGTGCTGCAAACTGCAATAGAAAACAAAACTGAGAAATGCGATCCATCGCACAGATCGTACACAAACAAAACCACATGAAGAATATATCGAGAACAGATAAAAACCGTTAATAACTTGAAAAAATTCAATTTGCAACTCCTTCGTCACGTGGATCCTATTCCTCTTCTCTAAAAACAGAATCCGTTACTAAGCGAATGATGATAATAGCAGATATCCATAAAACCAGTCATAGCATATGAATCAGAAAAACACACCTTTGTGCATCAATGACAAGTTTATTATTACGAGAAACAAGCCCAGACTGCTTCTGTAAGTGGTGACTAATACCCCACCCCACAACCTTCTCCAACACTGCGGCCCCTCAGAAAAATAGCAACGAGTAAATACACTTGCAGAATTTTATTCAAGCTGCCAAAATTTCAAAACGAAATAAGGAGAATTGAAAGAACGAACCATGCAAACATAAATAAAAGCAATATTAGATTACCAAAAATTACAGTAAATTAAAATAAACCAAGGTCAGCAGGTAAAGGAATTAGCTAACATACTTTCTTTAGTGAGAATGTGAGTTCGAATATCAATGCTTTCAAGATCATCACATTCTACGTTTGAAGCTCCCATAACCTGCTCCAAAATTATGAACACCAATGCTTTAGCTTAAATGTCGTCAAATTCGATCTAAGCATAAAAGAAACATAAGACTTTAAAGTACCAGCACTACACTCAGTACACTCCAGCGTCAGTGCAGGCAACTGAAAAGACAACTAACACTTCTATGCCTTCAAACATGGATTGAACGCCAGGTTAATACGTGTTAAAACGAGGCTAATAAGGAAATGCATAATAATGTTTTTACTGCAGGTCGGCCAGAACTAACTGCAGGAACCAGCAGCAATTGCAGACTGCTTCAACGACTCTGACACTGAACTATATTAAAAGATCAGTTGAACTGATAGACCACCAAACCAGTAAGTCATGAATTGTGCTCAGACCATGCGAAGTTGCTGTCTGTTCGCTTCTGCTTTCAACTTCTCCGTATCAAGTTCTAACTGCCTATTCCAATCCGTCAATAAAGCTTCCTCCTGCACATGACACGACAAGAAGCTTAGAAATGATGTACACTAGGTGAAAAACATAAAAAGTCCCAACAACCCTGGAGGTGAAAACAGCTTAATAGCCGCACCAAAACAGCTCCAAAGTCATCAGGTGTTGTTCATCCAGTTTTGTTATGAACAAAAACCGCACAAAGCTAGAAAAAACTCAACGTCTTAAATTGAGTCACTTTTACAATCACTTGAACCGTAATATATCTGCACCGATCAAGGGCACTACATTGACCTATACTATTTCATCGTTACCTTCACGAACTGAAAATTCTATTGAATAGTTTGGGGAGATATAATATCCCTGATCACTATAGACAACAATTGTAATCGTAGCAACATGCTTAAACAAAAGGAAAATGATTCAACCTCCGGTAATTCATGACCAACTTAACATCCAAAACAGGTCAGAGTTGTCAATACTGACCTTGAATAATCATAATAACCCTGTTCTCTAACTCTCTCATTTATTTTCTAGAGTGAAAGTATGTGAAACATATAGTCAGAGGAGGTTCAGAGCTCTTTATTCTTACTTGAGGTTGCTGCAGATGAATCTTAGTGGGAAAAAGCTTTACAAGCAGTTTTGAAGCCTTTGAACCGTCACCTTTATGGTCCTCCATGCGGGAAGCCAAATGATCCTGCTATGAAGAGTAGAGATTGGTTAATAAAGAGCGTCTGGTGGAATACTGACATATCCAAAAACATAACTGCCAATAGCTTTTGATAAAAGAAAGCCAACATCATCGTCATTGATAGAGTTCTAAAATAAACAAAACTTACCAAAAAGGAGAGATCCAAAAGGGCAGTCACATTATTCCCAACTTTTGTGAAAGTTGAAGAACTCGCACTACCCTGCAGAACCTCGATGTCAGCTCACATATTACCATCAAAACCGTATTCAAAATGAAAAGGGAAAATCAAACAAAAAACAAAACTTTTGGACACACACCGAGAGAGAATGAGAGCAGGATGTGTGAGTACACTTGTAGATTACAATACAATCATTCAGAGAAAATTATCAAACTTAATAACCTCCATTAAATTACAATGATAACTATATCAAATATGTGAAGGAAGTCAATTTTGCGCACCTTCTCCTTTTGTTGATCACTTGTATGTGACCCAATGACCACCAACCGTAAATCTTTTAAAGTTTCAAGTTTAATATATCGCTCAAAGTTTCCCATAATAGACTTCTCAACATTTCGTATAAATAGGATCAGCGGTTCCTTCTGAGATTCTGTCTTCAGAACCTGTATCAATTTCAAGGTCATCACAATCCTCCCCTCCAAAGTGACGAATTTGCAAGAGGATGTACATTAATGTGCGCTGATAATCTACTTCTGAAATAGAGACGTGGTAAAAATTTGACGAAGGATGCAATACATTAATCTTTCCTTTCTCAAAAGCACTTACATCAAAAAGAGACTCCAATATTAACTTGTCAACATCTTCTCCAGGAGGCTCCAACCTAAGCTCCGACACTGCACGAGAGATGCGTTGCCAGCTGTCAAGCAGTCACCACTGAAATCTCTGAGAACAGCATTAAAATGCTGCCTCCTACACTCAAGCTCCTCACCTTAGCACGAATCACCACAAATTAGGTCGGTGAAACTTCCAAGATTTACTCAAACCCTTCAGGCTTCGCTACAATTTGCAAAAGCAGTAGCATTTTAAATTACATGTACAACCCCTCCATCCTAAATAAAATAACACATAATCTGCTGAACACATAAAACATAAATATGAATCAAATCGTACATACCATTGCAAAAATATCCATGGCCATCTTCACATAGATCAACCAAATTATTGCCACCGTACACAGCCTTGTCAAACCGTACCCCAACTTTGTTGGGATTGTCTTCCAGCACCAAGAGAACCCGACCTTTCAATCCAATTGAAGGTCCCCTACTGCAAGAACAAACAAGTATCACTGTACGCACATTTTCCACATAAGAGATAATTATTGCTCATTTTAACATAAAATTTGCTCAGCATCACACCACACAAGTTTCTTTATAATCATGAACAAAGCATGGGTCTTACCCAGACGTGGGAGTATGGCTAATCAGAGCAAGACCTCCAGACAAACCTGAACTCGAAGCTCCAATATACTTCACTCGATCACCTGCGTATAGGCCAAAACTTGTCAAAATTGCGATTTCATAAAATACGGTCGATTTCATGAGACAGAAGATGATGTAAAATAGTACCATTTGTGAAATATGATCACTGTCTTGGAAATTCATAAATTAAATGCATTCGCATAGTAGGAATCAAAGTTAACGTAAGAATAAAACAGAAAACAACTTTCGAAACGCACACACCCAAAAAAGTAAATAAATAAAACAGAACAAAAAAAAAACGAAAAAGCAAAAAAGCAAAAAAATAAAAATAAAAAAGAAAGAAAGAAAGAAAGAAAGAAAGAAGAAGTAGAGAACCGATAACGAAGATAAGACGAAAAGAGAAGCATTTTTTACAATAGAAACATAACACAGTTGAATACCAAAAAAGTCTATACTTCCAACGAACCGACTAACTGGCTAAACCAATCCCCTGACCGCATACAAATCTTCGGCAACTTAATGTGGTCAGCAAAGTAAAATTAATAATATTCACTAATATAGCTACCAACTAGTCAACCCTCCAAAATGGTATTCAATATCACTTGCCTCACTTTGTGAACTTACCCTTCTTAAGCGACCGACGAGACTCAACAGAGGTAGCCGAAGCGGCAGCAGCGGCTGCTACAGCATTCGCTAGAGTCTTTGCATCCACGTTAGGGTCTCCCTTAGTTTTCGTACGTAACTGGACCAATGGTCCTAAACCACTACCCTCAGATCCAGTAGACGGTGTTGCCCTCACGATTTCGGAAGAGGTTTCTGATGACCTTGCATCATATATTGCGGGTCGAGTATGCGCACTAGTCTGCGCACAACATAAAACAGAAAGTTCACATTAGGCACTTATAGCTCGTATTCAGACACTTGATTACCCTTAGAAAAAAAACATACTCTATCTGCAATGATCCAGGAGGGCGAAGTAATTCATTTTGCTTCTATATTAGAACGACAAGATACCCTGAGGCTCAAAAATAATTGCACACTCAAGTAACCGTAGCTAAATCTCTGGAACCAGTAGCTAAATCTCTGGAACTAAGTGCTTGCAAATATATGCTTTGATAAGCATTGATGATAAAAAACTAAATTAAATTAAATTAAATTAAATGTACAAAGTCTTTTCATGTCCTTGAGGGGCATATAAAAAACTGAATTTTCACGATATCAAAGTTGCCAGTAACATGTACAAATTAATCCATTCATAAAACTCTAGACTGACATACAGTTCTTATTTCAGAAGTAACAGACGGATTAAAGACTCTAAAATACTCAAGGATTACATACCGCATCTTTAGCATCGCCATTTACACCGTCCAATACTTGTATTGTAGGGGCATCCGTAGAATGCTGATTTGCAGCTGTGGAAGCGTCGGTTACCCACTCCACAACAGAAGAGACTGCTTCACTTGCCTTCAATCATCAAAATCTGTGTTAATCTGAAGTCCCAACGCTGAAAAAACACTGGTTGCATTCTCATAGCCTCAAATATTATGTTTATTTAGAGCAAAACACCCATTGAGTACTGAGTGTCGACCAACAACTCTAATGTTTTCTCCAGAGAATCAATGAAAGTAAAAACTTCATGACTTTTACTGATCCCTCGATTCCATACACCAAGAGTTCAATTGACGCTGTACATAGCAAGATTGTGTAAAAATTTCTATAGATCAGGCTAATTTATTCTCAGAGGATATTTAGAAAACAAGTCTACAAAAACAATACACGCCCAAACCCCTCTACTCTTCTAATAGTGTTCCCCTCTGCTATGATTTTCTTGGAGTCAGATGGACAGTGTGGAGAGTTTGTAATGGTGTGCTTACACAGGGAACAGAGGGAGAAGAGTGCACCTCCAAGAAAATCCGTGTGCTGTCAAATACAAGAAGATTGACTTGCAAATGCTGTGCTAAACCCTTTATCAACGTCTCCTGGTAAATCTCAGAACCTGCAATTGTGACAAATTCGAATGAAACATTTTTTTTTTTTTGTCATTCAATTAAATTAAAACTCACTGTTGATAAGTTTCATTCAGAACAAACACGGATTTATTAGACGGCCGGATCATAGATATGACTACTTCAACCCCTAGTAAGTCTCCTGTTGATCTTATTATTATGAATGCAGATCAAAATTCTTCATCAACGCAAACGACTACAAAGTTTTCCCATGTGCTATTGTATTGAAGTTATAATTGGTTTGAAGCTTTATGACAATTAAAAAATCGCACATCAATAAAAAAAAATTAAAAAATCTTACCGAGAGGACCACTTAACAAGATGCGTGGGCTCACACTCCCCAATTCATTTAGGTGTTTACAGAATTCCGGCCTCTTTAGAAAGACATACATGGAATCCAGTAATGCAGCTTTTGTGCTCTCACTGCATCCATCCAGCAAGTTGAGTTATTCAGTATCGTTGGATACTGAAAGTTCAAGAGAAGTCAAGCTTCTTCAACTAACCAGTGCAAGCCACTGGCACAAACTAATACTACATAGTCCAACAGCCAAAGATCTCAAGACCTGAACAGATCGCTAAGTTTCTGTGGGGAATAGACAACCCTTACAAAAAGAAAAAGGAAAGACTACTCACTTTAGAAAATACGGAAAGTTGTCAAGGGAAACATCGATGTCCTTCCATTCCAATAAGCAGTGTCGTACAGCATTCCTGTAAGCCTGTTCATCCTTTGGTTTACTGGACGACCTCTTCGATTTATCAGATTTGTATCGATAACGATGCTCCCGTGACTCCTTCTTCCTCTTGGACTTTAAAGCGGTAAAGGCAGCACCGAATGCATATGGAAATGCACTGGCTGTAACTGCTGCCGCTGTTCCAGCTGCGACACCAGCAGATATGGCCAGTGCCACCCACAAGGCACGGTCGTAAATATTACTCCCCTCCATGCTTCAGTCCTGCAAACACTAAACACTGATTTAATCAAGTATAGCTACCATTCGTGACCAATGAGAGCAGAGTACAAGATAAGTGCATTGGATGTTGCCAAAAAGTGATCCCAATAAGACGTAAAAATGAAGATGGAAAAGGTGGGGTACAGTCATCTTAATACACAGACTGAGAAGTAACAAAAGGCTTGAAAATTACAACTTTCAAAGTTGACATGTATGATTACGAATGTCATGAGTTGCATACAATCTTGTCAAATAGCACGAAACTCCTCAAGAAAAGAAACAAGATTTTTGACACCTAAAAGAAACGAGAATCGATCCATTGGATAAACAAAACGGTGCTCCAACAGAGAGAACAGGAAATTTCATTCCACTGAACAACTGCCCAAATGGAAACAGGTCTTACTGAAATAAAAAGCAAGTATACAGATCATCGAAACTCACGGTGCAAGGTGCCTTTATCAATTAATGAAGTTGAAAGCCATCAGTGGAGCAACTAAACGTGGATAAATACAACCGTCCGAAGGCTTATCTTAACATATCACAAAAATTAGAAAATATGTCCGGCAATCCGGCGGAAGAAGCAAGCAGGAAAACTAGCATCCCCCTAAATTTTGTGAAGTTTAGACAGATAGATTTGAAAAACTAACCGCGCCGCTAAAGGGTAAAAGATAAAATAGAAAGATAATGGTCACAATTCGCTGTAAGGAAACAAGACAAAGACGTGGATAATTTGTAACTGAAACTGCCTTCACACCTCACATGTCACACTCAATTCCAACAGAAAGATCTCAACGATAGGTCCACACTCAGGCAATACAAGCTTCTGAATAGATCGTTAAGTTGTAATTAGAGCCAAACCTACCAACTTCTAAGAATAGGCAGCCGATTCATGATCCTACTTCATTCTGTGCACAACTCTGTCTTCAAATCAGAAAAGAATAACAAATATTCAAATTCCGCAAGGTCCACACAGAACAGACGACCAGCTAATTTAGTAAGGACATTGCACCGAGTAACAATTTCCAGCACCACCACTAAAATCTATAAACTTTCAGAAGTCATTCAACGGTCACAGAAAGAATTATAAAAGTTATACGGTCCTCGCAATAGCTACTACCTTATCCTTCAACAAATTAAATGAAGTGACAAAGAATGAATTTCATAGAAAGATCATTAAGCCGGTATTTTCCTCACACGCCCAGTCTCAAATGACTAGCAAACAACAGTACCGTTAACGCATTAGACAGCACAAATACAGAGGATTCCTGAATAAACAAAATTGATCACTACAACAGCCTCCAGTAGACTCACTAAGAATCATATGCAGCAAACTGTTCCATAAACTTTCACTTTAAAACTTATTTTCAGAGAGAAGATCAATCACTACACTCTAGTGTAGTACTCACCCACGTTACAAACGCATAAACTCGTGATAGAAACCCTAGACCTTCAATTGTGCCGAGAAACCGATTCTCGACTATATTCTTCCACTCTCGAATCTTATCTCCTTTCTCTCTCGCTCAAGATTTCTTGGCTATGCCTTCGGGCACGTAACTAATTGAGAATTCTGAACAGACAACATCATGAAATCATTGCAGCACGTTTCCACCATATAGGGAAGGGTTTTCAGCTATCACTGCAATCCCAGATACTACAACTACATTGTTGGCTGAAAAAGGATTTGTTCCTATTGAGAAGAATTGCAAGAATGCCATCAGAGCATAAGAATGAAGGAGATAGAGACTAGGAAGGGTGATGGATTCAGATGGAGAAATAAGAGATGAGGAACAGCTTTACACTCAGGTCTCAGTCTCTCAGGTCTCTACGATTCTTAAGTTGGCATGCTCTCCGGCCCCCTCGTTCTTGGCGTCATTCGTCACTCTCACGTGCCCCATACCCCTCAGACTATTGCACAGTGGAAGTTTTCTATTACTACACGGTGACAATACCATTCCCAGTTTATATACAAACAACAACACCACCACAGCTCAAATTCATAACACTGACCTATAAATCGATGCAAATATCACGACATCATCCAAAGCCCTCCAGAGAAAAGAGGTAGATCAATGGAGGAAGCAGCGACGTAGCAACAGGGAGCCTTCCCAAGACACCACAATGATGTCCACTGAACCAATCCACTGCTCCAAAGTGCGACCGTAACAAAACCCTAACACTAACAAAACACCACCACTTAATGCTCCACGTTAAGACAAGCCCGAAGCCCAATCACCTACCCTACCATTTTAATTTTGACTATCACTGCACCAAACCGCCGGTACAATACTCTAACGTCCCTACCGAGCTACCAAATTCCCAGACCAACGACCGCTACGAGCAAAAAAATCTACAACACAAGGTTTTCCAACCACCGCCAAACAAAAAAAATTTAAAAAATAAAATAAAATGCCAGCCAGCCAGCCTCAATTGTGTTAAAACACCTAATTCACCTCGCTTCATGAACAGAATCGCGCCGACAGAGCAAGTCCTCTACCGCGCTACATACGCGATGATTCGCCCATTCACTCCCCCCGTTCCGGCTTCACTACAGCCAAATCAGTGCTTCCGTAGTGCATCAGCGGTCCGCGAGTGTTGCAGGACACATTCAAAGCAGCATCCACAAGGGCAGCAACTCTTCCCCCTCCCCCTCCTGAGGCTTCGGAGTGAGGCAGGCACAGCACAGCACTGTCCAAGACGACGAATATGGTGGTGTGGACCTGTGAGGCTGTCTGTCTGTCTTTCTGTGTGTGCGACTGACTGCATCGCATCACACTGATGTTGTATGATCGATGCTGCTGCTGCTGCTGCTGCAGGTGCCGGTAAGACCCCCCCCCCCTCACGACGGTGACGGCTACGGCAATTAACATGGCCACGAGACGGCGACGGCGACGGTGGGTGTGAGCGGGGATGGGGCACCTTCCGCCATCCAAATCCTTGTCACCACAGGGAACCTATATCCGCTCCAGTGGATCGGTCATCGTGTGACACGTGTAGAAAATGTTGTCCTAGTCCAGCTCGATAGTTGACGTCACCCCTGCTGAGGTAAGGTTCGACTCTTTTTCCTGCCTAACAAGTCATTTTCTTGAACATACTAATTTGTCTATTTTTTCTTTCTTCGCAAAGTAAGAAATTGTCTGAATATCTATCTTCACGTGTTTTTCATATTTTTTAATTTTTTTTATTAATTTTTTATATTTGTAAAAATCTTAGATGGGGAAGAGGATAAAAGAAACAAACAGTACTATTAGGGGAATGTTAAATAGACCATGGTTTTTACTAAATTGACATACCCATGATGAAGAATGAGGAAAATGGTTGGTTTTCATTGTTTTTGGATCTAATAGTGGAAAAATGAAGCTAGTGGTTATTTTGTTATATATATATATATATATATATATTTATATATTTATAAATCTTTTTCATGATAAGTAAGCCAATTTAATAAAAGCTTGGATCTATTTGACATTCCCCTAATATTATGGACTTCAATTATGGGTGCAATTGTAATTCAAGGGAATAAACACAAAAAAACCTTTAAGATATGAAATTATGCAAGGGTTGAAAAAGCACATTACATATCATCAAAACAACGTAGTTGATTAATATAACACAAGATGGATATAAACTTCTAATGTTTTATATACACCGACATTATGAGGGAGGATTGATGTTTTGCGAAATATCAAAGAAGCTACGTAAGCCAAAATAGACGAATAAATTTCATCCAATCCACCTAACATTCATCCAACATGGGCACGGGGATGCACTTGGGGCTGGGCCTCCTCGTCGAGCGTGGGCGAGGATGTGCAAACGGTGGTGCAGAATCCGATTTAGGGCTTCGCGAGAGAGAGAGAGAGAGAGAGAGAGAGAGATTCATTCACTTCGTGGTGTGTGTGGGGTCTGATTGCATTGCAGTGTCGTGTTTGTGATGGAATCTCGCACAGCAAATTTGGTGCTCCGCCTTTTGCAGCGCCATCTCCCCGTCCCTTGGCCTGCCGTCAAGCAAAGCCAGCTTCCTGGTCTGCTCCCTCGCGTCCCTCTCTCTTTTGATGCGCCTCGGAAGGGTATGGTAGCGGCGGGGAAGAGGTTCTTGGATTCTTCTCCGGCATCGCAGTGGGAGTCCGGGGTGTCTTTTCCGAACTTGGTGAGAAACAGCTACGGGATATTTTTCAAACAACCCGATTCGCCGTTTCTGTCGTTCGATCGGGCGAGTGATGCTGCCAGGGTTCGGGCACAGGATGCGACAAAGCTCTCTATAGATCGAGGTTCGGATGCTGAGCCTTCGAAACCTTCGTGGGATTTTGAATTAGGGCTACGGTTGAAATCAGGTATGTACATGCCCACGCAGCACGAGGAGGGAGAGGGCTGGGAAGCTAGTAGTGTGAAGCGCAAGAGGAAGAAGAAGATGAATAAACACAAGCAGAGGAAGTTGAGAAGGAGGGACCGGCATCGTAATTAGGTTGGCGCGTTGATCATGAGCTTGCGACATGTGATTGCAGGTTCAAAGTTGCTTCCTGGTAATGTGTAATTTGAATTAGACCGGAGAAGCAGTCATCGAGTGCCTCGTTTTGAAGCAGTCAGCATGTGGAGACAGGGTGCTACAGAATCTAGAATCTCTCCTCTACACGTTGTTTCCTATGCTACTCTCGATCATTTTAGGTGTAAGTTTGTGTAGCTTCAGCAGATGCTTAATTCTGTACATGGCACAGCTCTTAGTGGGTTGAGATTTTACTGGGTCATCATCACGGCTTAACAAATCAAACCTTGTCTTCAGCTGGGACTCCCAGCAGTTTTGTTCAAGACGTTGTGGATTAAATCAATGCCATGCCTTTCAGATTTGGACGAGTGATCACTGGACAGAAATTGCTGAACCAGCTTCGAAGCGTGCTCGTGGTACCCCTTCAATTCTTGAAGTAGGCTGCCACCACTTTTGCATAGTGGTTGAGCCAAAGTAGAGACCTCTTTCTTGTGTTTTTCTCTTCATGATCATGAGCTGATCTGTTCACCTAATCTATGGAAGAGGCTGTAAGGTCGAATTCTATTATCTCTCTTCTGATGCCCTACATCTTGATGCTTTTTGTATGTAAATTGTACAACACCTTGTTGCCCTTGTAGAGTGTACAAATTCAGATACTAGACCATGTAGAACTTTTGCTGTGCTACATCATTGTTGATGGCATTAAGGTGAGTGCCATTTAACCAGGTTCCAGTTTTGTTGTGGTGATATACCCAATCTTCAAACTTTCCACAGATTTTAAGATACATTCTAAGGGCAAGTTTAGTCTTTATCTTTGTGGACGATGGAATAAGTAAAGTAGCAATAAGTTTTGTGAGAGGTGAAAGAAGATTTGAAGTCTGACGTTGCCAAGACTTTGTAATTTAAGCTGTGACAATTTTAATTTTGATGTGAGGTTCACTTGCACTAGCAATTGAGCACACAACATTCTTAATGTAATTTTTTTGTTTTCAAAGGTCTTCCAATTGTCTCCATGTTAACTTCTAGGGTAAATTTTTATTGGTAAGGACACTAACAATGCAAATAAAATATACAGATTGAAGTAAGAATTATTTTGCAAATCGAATTTGGAAGATTTTTAAAATTTTTCATATAAGTTAGTTTTGAGAAAGTATATTTTAATGTAAAAATTAATTATAAATAGAAAACATATGATATAATCTAAAAATTGAATAGAAAGCATAGTGTTGAAATAGCATATTTTTAATATGAAAATTTATAATATAATTTAATCTAAAAATTATTACATAACCTAATTAATATTTTATAAATTATACTTGTAATATATGATTTTAATAGGATTTTAGGATATACATTGTAGTAAAAGTTATGTATTCATTTCCACTACCTTTTGGATGAATGATTTTAATACACCTTGTATACTTTTAACATGTATTGCATTGTTAATATCTCTTGATTGATTCTTTATGTAAAAAAAAATTTGCTCTCTAAATATGCACAAATTTCTTCATGTATATACAATCTATGTTGAGTGCATCCATGCTTGTAATACTTTATTTGCCTAGACCACCTCTACTTGTTCTTTATTCATCTAGTAATGGTTGAAAATTGCAATAGAAATAGAATAATTAAATATTCATAAAAAAGTCTCAAATTTAAATATAATAATATTTTAAATATATATTATTGATGTCTAATTTAATTACGAAACCATAATTATATTATAAAGATTATTTATAAAAAAAAAATTATAAAAATGTAGGTATAAATATTTTAATTCAATTTTAATTCAACATATAATATGTTAAAGTATTTAAAATATTAAGAATTTTAATAATATATTTTTTAACAATTAATAACTAATTTTTATCTTATAGACTTACTTAAGTGCCTCTTTCACATATTACTTTTAAAATTAAAAATATTATTGTTGTCTTATTTTGCATGAAGTAAATGCTATTATTTCTTTAATTAAAGAATTATTTTAGAAATATCTTTATTACTAATTACAAAAAAAAAAAAAAAAAAAATCCAACTACTTTTAAACAAAATTACAAAGATTTCTATTTAGGTCTAAGAATTTAAAAAATACAAGAGAATATAAAAATCTCAAAAAATTCCAAATGATTTTATGAATATAATAAAACCACATAATAACATTTTTTTTTTAAAATTTTTTATGTTAATTCTAATTGTTAAAAAAATTATACTCAATGAGGTTTTAATAAAAATATCACATTTCTTGTATTAATTATATGAAGGATCTTCATTCTTAAACATTAAACAAAATCCTTTACTTTACTGAAAAGATTCTCGCTATTTCTTGAGAAAAAAAAAAAAAAAAAATTGAAATGTTTTTGTTCCTTGTATTTATTAGGTTTACAGTTGATGGTGGTGGCATTGGGTATAGGCTATGTGAACTTCTTTTCTTTTGTTGTGAGGTCGTTGGAAGATTTGTATTAATCTTTGGTGAGAGGTAGAGTTTTGAGAGAGACTCCCTTTGAATTGATATAATGTTGATTAACTTCTAATATAAATGGAGGTGTTTTTACTAGTGTAGGATTTTAAATTTTTTATGTTGTATAATTAGGGATTTATGAATCATGAAGTGAGTGCAAAGCACAAGTAAATGGATTCAAAGGAGCTTAATTAAATAGTTTATGAGTTTTAGATTTTGCAAAAAAATATTTAAAAGAATGCATAAAAATTAGAATTTATGTAGAGTTGAATATAAAAAATATGCCTATTGCTTCATGCATATAATAATATGCAAAGGTTTCTAATGGTTTGATTAAAATGTTGTCTCATTGCTTTGACATAGGCACATAGTCAACTACTATGTCTCTTCTTAGACTTTTCTTTCTAATAAAATAAAAAAATCTTCATATATATTTATTTTTAGAATATAATATTAGATTATCTATTAATTTGATATAATATTGATTATTGCTAAAGATGACAGATGGATTAGAATTACAAATTTTTAATTCTTGTAATACTTTTTTGTAAGTATATTACATCTTTTACAGCTTCTGAAAGCACCTAGTATTTGACTTTAGTAGTGCTTAATGCAACCATTATTTGTCTCTTGTTTAATCATTCAATTGAAGCCTCTTCTATCCTATGCATAAGACCAAAGATTGATCATATAGTATTTAGATCTCTTTTGTAATTCGCATTTACATAGCTTATGAAAGTAAGATTGTTTTCTTGTAAGAAAAATATGCCAATATTGGTAATACCTTTGATATAACACAATACTTATTTTATGATAGTCATATGCTATTTCTATGGATTTTGTATGTATTTGCTTAAGATATTAATTACAAAAGTAATATTGGGTCATGAGATCATAGAAGCATACAGAAATCTACTTATTAGTGATTCATAATATAGGGCTTAAATCAACCTACATACTTTCTCTTAGTACGTTGTGGTTTGGAAACTAAATAGTATGTGAAACGGAATTGGACTATTTCAAAAATTTAAGATCCTTCTAATTGATAGCAACATAAATTCCATGACAATGTAAAACTAAATAGGAAGATGCAAAACCAAACTTTATTAAAAAAAAAAAAAAAGGTCCAAAGCCATACATGACCATATATCCAAATAGCCATGGCTGGTCCTATTTATATATTTTTTTTTCTTGGAACTTTTTAGAATGTTCTATGGTAGGACCTACTTAAATAATCATCCTAAATTCTTTTTAGAATGTTCTATGATGGATCCTACATAATCCACTAAGTTAACTCCAATTCTAGAAACTTCTATAAACTTCTCAAACATGGCTCCAACTATCTATACCCCATTAACAATACAAATATCTTATCTATATCCCATTATAATTAATCCTCCTATACTAAGGCAAAATATCTTCTTTTTGTTCTCAATGATATTTCTAAATTCTTTCTTAAGAATGGATGAAGTTTTGTGCACGTTCCCACGTTGTATTCTAGATGGGATAACCTTTCTAGAGGACTTTATACTGAAGTTGTGAATGTCCACTGCCATAGCAAAATTAACAATACTCAAAAATACTATCTACTTTATACTCTTGTTGGTCATCAATTACAATTAGTGGTAGTGGTGGTTGATGTTGATCTAAAAGTGCCTTGACTTAGTATGAAATTTCTTAAATTCTAAAATATGAAAGACCAAATGGATCCAAATATGTGGCAAAAGCTCGAGGCAGTATGCAACATCAAAAATCACTATAGAAATATGGAAAGATCTAAGCCACTAAAGTATCAGTTTACAAATTAGAATTGATATAGCAAGTGGAAAATTGGCATTAAAGAGTACTACTTGATCACCCTCTCAGAAGGTCTTGTATTGCCAATGGTTATCTATATATTGCTTCTCTTGATTTTGTGCAATAAAGAGGCAATGCCATGCTTTTTATAAGGCCATTATAAGCTGTTGTATAAATTTTTCTATAATCGATTTGTTCGTGTTAATGAAAAGATAGAAAATTATTGATATAATTCGATGCTAACTAGTATTAAAGAATAATAGTGAATGACCAATACTTACTTAAATACTATCATTATAAGCAAATTCCAAAGGCATCAAATATGCATCCCAGTCATTATAATAAATTGTCACAAATGCTCATAGCATATCTTCTAAGGTCCAATTTGCACGCTTTGTTTATCCATTTGTTTGGAGATGGAAGGTCGTGGATATAGCAAGTCATGTACCTATTAGTTTAAACAAAGCTTGGCAAAAACTTCTTGTGAAGTAAGGATCTTGATCTAAAATAATGATACAAGGTAATCTATGGTGACGAAAGATAATATCAAAGAAGATCCTTGCAAGTTTCAGGGCATCAATATCTAAGCATATTGCCTCCAAGTAAAGTTGCTTTGAGAATCGATCTACAAAGACAACAACCATAGTGTGATTTTGAGGCAACTGCAATAGACACATAATGAGATTTATAGTTACCTATTCTTATCATATCATATGTAGTAGAATTGGCTGCAATAATCTAGAAGATACTATATTGCATACTTTGTTACATTAGCATGATCTACAAGAGTACACAAAAATTCAAACATCACAATCTAAACTTATCTAAAATCATATTCTTAAGATTTATTCTAGAATCTTTTCATGCCCTAGATATCCAAATATTGGGATGTCATGTCCTTCTTTAAGTATGTACATCAAGAATATAACATTATTAAGTACATAAATTTGCTTCTTAAAATAGAATAAGCCATCATCAAGATTGTAATCTTGATACTATACATTGTCCATCTTTAGCTGATTGCTAATTATCTTGAAATAAACATCTTGATGTGTAGCTTCTTTCTATTTTGCTTCTTTCGTTAGATTTGAAATGATACTACTAATGGTAGCAATTTCTGCCTTATTTTCTGATTTGGCCTTGAAATTTGGTCTCTGTAATAAGTTGTCTAGCACAGTATGTTGTTGCCCTTGCTTATATTCAAGCTAAATATCAAAGAACTGCAACTATTCTTTTCAATAATAATGTCATGATTTTATATTTTTTAGATGCACATTGTATGCAAGGAATCGATGGTCAATTCAAACAATCACTAGCTTTCCCA